CTGGTATAATTTCTCCATTCTGATAATGAAAACTGAACAACTTTTCCTATTTCTCTCCTTACATTGCTGCTCAGGAATATTGTTGACAAATTTGGGACCACATGTGGGCTTTACTTTTGTTAACGTTCAAAGGAGCATTATGAAATGAATCAATAAAATTGCTACTACTACTGATTTTCTTCCGCGTAAACATTTCTTATATTTACTGTTTAGATGCTTATATTAGAATAAAAACATGTATCTCTCTTTATTATGAAATATTTTGAAGAGGATTATCTGGTTCTCCTTCATGGAAGACGAATTGGAAAAAACAGAAGTGTTTAAAAAGGAAGATAAGCTACATTGTAATCCCATAGTATATTGTTAATGTTAGAATTTTAATTATCCTTTCTAGTACCTTCTAAATTTAAATTGAATAGTCAAGTATTTCACCTATAGTCAGGGTATACTATAGGGAGGCATAAGATCAGCCCTAGACTCAGCCTATAACATGGAGAGTACATTTGGGACTTAACCTGTGCATTAACCCATATGATATGCTACATGGATAGTTATCCAACAGACGTCAGAATATCAGTTGTTTCTGCAAAACACCTACATATACTCTGGAGAATGTGAGTGCTTTGAGGCTGGAACTAGGAACCTAATCACCAGAGGTTGGCAGATTTTGTCCTTTCGAAGACAGTTTTACTTCTGGTTATCAGAAAAATGGGCTGTGTTTTAAAGTAAAGGGGGTTTCCAGTGGCTGAAACATTTAAAAGGAGTCCAGATGATTGCTTGGACAAGATAAGGCTGAATTTGACAACTATTAAGACCCTTTCTGATAATGTATCTATAATTTTAATAAAGTGATAATTGGCATCTTTTTATGAACAGTGACTGAAATTTAGAAGTATTTGCGGAAACTAGGAAGCCTAGTCTGCCATTTAGGACCATTATTATTGGAAATGTTTCCTTGGGATTACAGATTCTTGATACTCTTGACAGTTTGGTACTGTAACCAAGAAGGTGACTTTAGCAGGTCAGATATTTGGAAGAAATTTGCAGAGGATCATGAGTTATACTATTCTGGTGTTTGTAAAACTTTTTGTGAAAAAGGCAGCTTTCTATCTGTAATGTTTATTGTAGGATAGTTAACCCCGAAAATGTCTGTTACTAGAATTTCTGAAGGATTTTCTCCTTTCTTCTTCTTCTTTTTTGGATATCAACCTCGAGTTGTTTTTTTTTTTCTATTCACTTTATACTTAATTTATTAACACTTTTTAATTCTTGGGATGATTTGGCAGTTTGCAACTACAGGGGAGTTCTAAGGACGTGGGGCAGTTTTCTGAAACCAGTAGTTCAGGAGACTAGCTCCAGATGGTGCAAATTCCTTCTAGCACCTTGGCACATACTGCTTTCTCTGCTTTAAATGCCACATATATCCTAAGCACCCCATTGCATTGTTTAGCTGAACAAATATATCCATATGTGTACACACATTTTTCTTGATTCTGAGCTCTAATCTTAACAGTGCCACTCATTTAACTGTGTGATCTTGGGAATATTACTACAAATCTCAGAGCCATCATTTCTTTGTAAGTTGAGTGATCTGTTTAATTGTGGCCCAAAGAAACCAAGAATTGACCACGTGCCTGAGTATATCACTTTTCTAGGTATTCTAGGATTCTATTAGGCAACATATCCTTTCATTATAATAAATCTGAAATTCCAGGTGAAGGAATTTACTGTTGTTTGAGGTCGTGTTGATAGACATGTAGCTCCATAGCCTTGTTTCAGATAAGCTGGAGGATGTGGGTGAGTCAATATGCTGGATGGATGTGGGTGGAAAAATCCAACATTTCATGTTATGTCCTGTGCACTAGCCATCATTGTTCTAAGGATCTATCTTTTTCACAAACATTTATTTGAAAATCACTATCCTGGGCACTGGGCTAAATGTTGGAGATAAAATGATCCATAATATTTTTCTTGCTTTTCAGGATCTAGAATGTATGCTGGGGAAACATGAGTAAAATTTTTTAATAGTATAATTAATGCTACAGTACTATCCTGTAAACTACGTGCTATGAAAGTACTGAAAGAAAATAATAGATGAGTCTGCTGCATGTTTGTGAGTCAGCTACATAGGTGACATTTGAATGGGGTCTTGTAGGTTGATTGTGAATTTTCTAGGTGGTAGAGAGGTGGATGGGTGCTTTGGGCAGAGAGAACACAGTGATTCCCTCACCACCATCTGTGTAGTAATGGTGACTAAGCTTCTTGCCCATTTGCAGGGCTCTCCCATTCTCTGTGTTTCATTCTCACAACAATCAAGCAACCAAAAACAGAAACCAAAACCAATAACCATAAGAATCTCTAAACAGATGAAATATTGGTAAATATTGCTTGGTTTTTAGTCATCTGTATAAGGTGTAGAATGAAAATCTTCGTCTTTCAGAAAGGAATTACAGAAATTCTGTGCGGACTTTGTGGACAATTTAGTAGTGGGATTATTGTACTAAGGATAGTAACTACAAGACAGTGAATCTGATTTAATTGTATTATGGATCTCTGTTTAGAAGGATCATCTATCTCCCAGACAGGTGGAGTATCATGGCATATTGGAAAGAACAGGGCATTTAGAGACTTAATTAGAAAAGTAGCCCTGCCGTTGATTACTTTGGCTAGTAACAAAATAAATGAAGATGGAACACCTATGTAGATTATTTGCTTAACTTCAGCCAAAATTAGATGCCACTACCCTCCCAGTGTCATACTGTAGTTAGATTTTGTTAATTTCAATGACACGAAAATTTTAGAACACTAGAAAATGGAGAAGGATCAAAAGTTTGTGTTACCCTTTGTTCTCTAATAAACGAATTGCTCACGCATTGCTTAAGTGTTCTTTTGTTTTCAGCCTTGAGCCTGAAAGTGAGAAATTTTAGTTATCAGTGATCAGCAACTCAGAGCTATGTTTGCTTTTATGGGGCTCATAATTGGGGTATTTGAGTGAGCATAAGAGAGTGTCTGCTGTCTATGGCCAAGCATCTCTGAGCTCCCTACCTGCCCTGCTGATGGGGGTGGAGGAGGGGGTTGGTGTTGCTAATGGTATTGGTGGTAGTGATACTGATGTCATTTTGTTGATCTCTGTATAAACATTGCTGAGGCTGAGAATGTAGAGGATTTGTCATTAGGATAAGCTCTATTCAGTTTCTCTGAATCCCATTTCTCTTTTACTCAGATAATTTTGTTAGAACTTTTAATAAAGAGAAGAAACTCTAACCGATTAGGGAGACATTTCTTTTGTAGGGCAGCAAAAGAGTTTTACAAAATATGTTTATTGTTTCAAAGTGTCATTAATATATCTTAGAGACACGAGTCTAAAATTTAACAGTATCTTCTCCACCCAAGTGGAGGGAAACTTGTGGATGTTGAAAAGAGGGTTAGAGAGAGAGATGAGGGCAAGTGGTAGGTCCCAAAGAGAGATTTCCCTTGAAATTTCTCACTGTAGTCACCACCTAGGGTGTCCCATAGGTTACTTAGGAAACACTGAAAGAATCGGAAGGATGGGGTGATGGGAAGAGGGCGAGAGATGAGAAGGTGCTTAATGGGTACAGTGTACATTATTCAGGTGGTGATTATGGTAAAAGCCCAGACTTCACTACTAGACAGTATATCCATATAACAAAGCTGCACTTGAACCCCTTACGTGTATACAATTAAGGAACTTTTTATTGCTATTTTTTTCGGGTGTAAATATAGGCCGACTGTGATTGCTAGAAGTCTATTTTTGGGAGATAGTGAGGCAAAGTAAACTAGGTCTCATTTTTATTTGCGTTTTGGGGGACCTGGAAACCACTTTCTGAATACATGTGCCATCTTTACTAAAAATTACTTTTATCCTTGATTTTAAAGAACTTAATGCACATTTATCTTATTTTAACTAGTATTTCATAATACCCCCTCCCCTTTTTTTTCCCTGATACTCTAAGCAGAAATATCTGGGGCCAGAAGAGGTGGATTTGATTTCCAGTTCATTTGTTTTATTTGTTGGGCAGTCTTGCTCAAGCCGTTTTATTTCTCTTGAGCCTTAGTTTCCTTGTAAGTAAAATGGGGATGTTGATAAAGCCTTTATCCTCAGATGGTTAGGAGGAATACATGTGAAAGTGCCTTGTAATCTATGAAGTGCCGTATAAATGTCAGTTGTGGCTGTCTGTTATTACCAGACTTTCACAAGACAAAATGTATCTCTTGAATATCTTTCTTGTTCATAGTAGATGTTTTCGTGTATGTAGAACAAAGGAAAGCAAGCATAATCCCTGCTTTCAAAGCAGAGTATGTAGTCCATTTGCTATTCGTAGCATTTACATAAAAAGAATAATTCACAAAATTCTACCATTCTATAAAAGGGAAAACAGACATAGGTGAAAGAAATAGCCTCTTGTTAATGTATTATTAATCCAGGCATTTTTATGTGGGTGGAAGCTTGTAAAGATGAATCATGGCAATTTTAATTTCAGAAAGTCTTAGGATGTAGGTAAAAGAACAAGGGAAGGCGAATGGCTTTTTTTCCACTTCCTTTTTAGGTTATGTAGAATTAGTTGGGATAGCACTGGGAATGTGCACATTATTTGGATAATGTATGAAAGGAACGTGTAGCCACTCACTGAATCAGAAATTTCTGGGTTTGGTTGAAATATGTACTCATTCTGCTTACTTGACTGAAGTGAAAAAAGGAGTTCTTGATAGCAGGAGCACTGTTCACTGTTTAGATTTAGTTAATCTTGTGCATAGCTTTTAAACTTTGGAGCAGAATTTGTTTAGCAAAATGTCCCCCACTAAGTTTTTTTCTCACTGGCGTTGCCAGTATAAATACAAGTTAAGTTCTTGATTCTTGTCCAAAATTTGAGACTGTGTTCATTTAGTGGAAGAGTAAACAAAATTTCTGCTGCCCTTAGGGGTATGCGTGTATGTGGGGGATGTGGCAGGGGTTGGGAGGGGCACTTCTGTTTGTCCCTGAGAAAAAGATAAGGGAATTCTAAAGACTCTTACCCCATCACTTGTCAGTCTGAACCACCTCTTTGAAACAGGCTTTCGAAAGATTATTCTGTTTCTGAGTGAGAAAGAGAAACTTGCTGTAAATGAGCTTTCTAAAATAACAATCTTAAATATGTTTTATGAAAAATGCTCAGTTTACTTATTTCTTTGTTGGTGAAAGCTGAGAAGATCTTAATCTGGTACTGTTAATGCCTAAGAAAAAAAATGTTAAAGACTATTTTAGGCCTCCAAATTTGTTGTCATTTGGGCCAGAATTTTAAGAGACATTCAAATCAATGTTGGTTTGTTTTTTTCTCTTTTCCTTTAAAATGTTGAATTATTAAAGTATACAAATTTTGTCTCTATTTTTCTACTAGTTGCCAATGGTAGGGCAGACGAGGGTGTTACCCGTAGAAGGAGAACGAGTAGTTCTGCATCGAAGTTTATGGAAAGCTCCTACAGTCATTGGTAGGGAATGGGGGAGTGGGCTGTGTCTGGAGCTGGAGGGGTGACGTTGGCAAGCAGATGGACCTGGAAAAAGGTGTGTGAGGAGAAGCAATAAAGCGAAAACAAAAATGAGAGACTTAGGAAGCAAATGCAAAAAGAGAAAAAGAAAAAGTATGAGAGGTCGAGTTTGGTTGGCGTGAGGTGGAGCGGGGTGGTGATCACCCGATTTTCCTTGGTACTTTTCAGGTAAGTGTATACCTGGAATGCCTAGAAAGGAACCAGTTCCTCATGAGGGTGCACCGGGGCTTTCCTATCACATCTCTTGCTGTAATTCCCTTTGGGGCTTCTGTGCCCCAGGCACACACAACTCCAGAATGGCCTGTGGATTTTCATCTTTTTGGCTTTGTCCATAATTGGCCTCTTTGCCAAGAATGTTTACCACTTCTGTCCATAGGAATTTTAACTTACCTTGAGATACATTTCGTGTTAATTACTTTAAGGTTTCTTGATACAAAGTTTCTGGATGCATTCTGTTTAAATCACCCCCACTTCTTACATCTACCCCCAATTCATAACAAGCATAACTGCTCCAGTGTTTATGACTTCAAAGAATTTTCTTTAGTACAACAAATTGTCTTTAGTACAGTGTTTATTAACTTACATTATACTTGTTTTCCTCTCTGATATTTCACCTCATTGATGGCTTGGAGATGACTCATTCATCCTGAAATAGAGTTCAACACATGTTTATTGAGTAAATGAGTGTTTATTAGTTGCATACGATGCCATTCATGTATTTAGGGGGAGATCAACATCTCAATGAAAACCATTCTTTAAGGAAATGGATGGGGGGTGTATATATGTACATATTTATGTACGTCAGCCAGTCATCCTTTCTGTTTCTGAGACCTGCTTGGCCTATTGTAAATTAATTCACCGTATACTAATTTGTGTGTACAGGCATCCCTCATTTTATTGCACTTTCCTTTATTGCACTTTGGACAAACTGTGTTTTACAAATAGAAGGTGTGTTGCAAGCATTTCTTAGTAGTAATGTGTTTTTAAATTTAGGTATGTACATAACCTGTTTCGACTGAATTCCATCGCACATTTAATAGACTATCAATAGACTATTAATAGACTATAGTGTAAAAATAACTTTTATATGTTCTAGGAAACCAAACAATCATGTGATTCATTTTATTGCGATACTTGCTTTATTGCAGTGGTCTGGAACCAAACCTGCAATATCTCCAAGGTAGGCCTGTATTTAGATTAACATATCATTGAAACTCCTTTAATGAGAATGGGGATAGGGTTCTAGTTTTATGTAGTTTGTTTATTGCTAAATTTGTTTAAATGATATTTGACATATCTTATGTGTGTTATGCTGTCATAATAGCAGAGTTTAATTCTGTTTATGGCATTATTTTCTCCCTTTCTCCTACTCTTGTTTGACTTTATGATCCAGCTTTTTTTTTTTTTTTTAACTTCTTTCGATTAATGAGCACACGTTGTGTGGAAGGTGCAGAGTACACCCACAAAGTCCCTGCCATGAAGAGCTTGCAGCTGGATAGGAAAGCAGCTGTGTGCTCGAATTTCAGAGCAAAGTGCATTTTTTTCTGTTAATGCTCTTCTAAGCAATGAGGCAGAGTCGCATGGCTTTTAATGTTCAAAAGAGACTTAGCCACCATCTGTAACACTGGGAAAATGGGCAGAGGGGAGAGCCTACAAGACACTTGAGATCTGGGTGGGAACAAAGGAGAATAGTTGTGTAATTGACTGTGGCGGGAAGCTCATTTTAGTAGCAGGCTGGGAGTAGTGGGAGACATTGATAGGGTTGGCTTATGGCAAGAAGGTCAGCCTGAGTTCTGGATGAGTGAAAGTAAACATAGGAGGGAAAAAGTTTGAGAAATGGGAAGGTGAAAGGTGGTTCACCTTAAAGGTGCCCACAGGGAAACGTGGGGAGACGAGTTTATGCCGTTTATCCTCAGTGGACTGTTTATACTGTTTACATCAAAGGTAGAGGAGGTTAGAAAAGGAGAAGAGTTCTCTTCAGGTTCTGAGCTTGGCCTGGCTGTGAAATAGTTTCTGTTCTGGTTAGCGATTTACAAAGTTGACTGGATATGTGATTGTTTTCCAGGTTGTACTAGAGTACTGATGCAGGGAATACAGAGGCAAATCTTGAAAAAAAACTAGAGTGGGTTCAGAAGAAATTATATATTGGGCAAGTAATATTTCAGTATAAATGAGATTATATGTTTGGAAACTCCTAGTAAACTCTGAAGGGCTGAGTCAGTGCATTTGACAGTGCAGCTCTGTGTGTATGTGTTTGTGTACTTCCTCATAATCACTGAAAACCTTCTAGATCCTCTTGACTAGCTCAGGCCCTGCTCTTATCTTTTGGGTACTAATTCAGCTTCTGCTGAATTAATTAGAATTTAGGGATAAATCACAATAATAGAATATACTTTAGTCTTGCTGTTTAGATACTAAGAAATCATTATGAGGAGTCAAGGTAATCAGTAATTCGTAAATTTCTCACACCTATTATAATGCGTCAAGCCATATCTTCATGTTCATTGTTTAGCAATATGTGCTATTGACAACATGAAATTAAGTTAATTTAATTATATAACTTAAAATGTAATATTTAAGACATTTAAAAAGCACAGGAAATAGAGAAACCCATGAACCTACTACCCGCATCAGATGTTAATATTTTGCCTTGTTGTTTGTCTTTTCTGTTTTTGCTTTTGAAGCAGTAGAATGGCTTGTGCAGCCAAGGCATTCATGCCCCTTTTCATCTCTTTGGAGAGAGAACTACTGTTTGGAGTTAAGTTTGTGTCAGTGCCATATTATTAAAAAAATTTTTTTTTTTACCATAGGTATACCTGTCCACAAACAGTATATTTTAATGTTTAATGTTCTACTGCCTAAAGTTAAGAAATATTTTTAAAATTATTGTACTTCTTCACATGATTCTCCACATGGAAAAATGTAATAATTTCATAATTCTTAATTTTAGCATGGTGTTCGAAACATAGAAAATATATTTTTGGCATTAACGTTCTCACCTAATAACGTAAATTGAAGTGGCTTTTAAACTTTTTGTAATCTATAGAATGATGTGTGTTTCACATTTTGACCTAGTACCTATCATCTGTGTGTATTTCTGTGATCTGTATATATATAGTACTGGAAAAGTTTCCCCAAACTAGTTTCCTGTACTGTGTGTGATCTATAATAGTCCCTTGGTATTTGTGGGGTAGGGTGTGGAGTTGGTTCCAAGACCACACATGGATACTAAAAATCTATGGATGCTTCAGTCCTTGGTATAAAATGTGTTAGTATTTGCATATAATTCATACACATTCTACTGTATACTTTACATTGTCTCTAGATTACTTATAATATCTAATACAGTGTAAATGCTATGTAAATAGCTGTTATACACTGTTTCGTTTAGAGAACAATGATAAGAAAAAAAGTGTGTACATGTTCAGTACAGCCACATTTTTTTTTTTCCTAAGTATTTTTTATCTGTGGTTGATTGAAACCATGAATCCAAAACTCAGGGCTATGAGGGCCAATTGTCTTCTGTTATTCTCTAGACCATTGACTTTTAAAATGCTTTTCTCAGGCTTAGTAAATTGATTTTTTGACCTGATAATAGGTTGCCACCCATAATTTGAAAATCATTAAGATTAATCTTAAAATTTGATCTAATCATAATCTAAAATTAAGACTGACTTTAATATATAAGCACAAGCGTTTCCAGTATAATAAAGGTTTTAAATGATAGGTCAGTGTATTAAAATAACATTCTTCACACAAGATTTGATTATATTTATTGTAGCTGATTCATTAATTTTTATAAATTGAGTCCATGTATGTCTTACCCATTTAAAAATCAGATATTAATTAATTGAAGTGTTTTAGAGAGTATATACTGGTTAATGTAGAATATTTTCTTTCCATCCATTCTGACCATGGTTTACCTGGAGGGAAGGAGGGCCGTCATTGTGTCAGGGAAGGGCAAAGAGCTCTTGAGCTCTTGCTGGCTTAGACTTTGACGCCAAGCCCTGTCACCAGTGAACTCTGTGCAGCCTTAGAAAATCCCTTCTTCCTTCTGGCTTTCAGTTTCCTCACTTATTAAATGAGGATGCTATCTAGCTCATCTTGAAAGTACTTTTTTTCTGTGAAATATAAGGTAACTAGGACCTGGGCTTCAAGATATTAGAATTCGTTGAGAATATAGCTGATGAAAAAGAACAGGGCTTTCTATTCGAATTACTGGTTTTGCTGTTACGTTTGAGTGAGGATTAAGCAGGTTGTATTCAGTTTAATGTAGTTCTTGGGCAAGAATTATTCCTCTGTTCAAAACCGTTTCAAAATAATCTTGACCTCCCCAAGATCTCCCTCCCTTGTTGTGGCGTTATCCCTCAGTAGTGAAGGACACAATTATGTGGAGTGTATATGTGAATATACGTAAGTGCGAAGAACAGCAAAGGAATGTTCTTCATTCTGTTTCAGTTAAGTGTGCTCATAGGCAAATCCAAAGCTGCAGAAAAAAATCTACCACTTTTCCTAAGCTCTAGGGACTGTTTAATGAGTCCTACTCAATTGCAATAATCTGAGGCTTTGGGGAGTTTCCTTTTTTTTTTTTAAACATGAATTACATGCTTGGAATAGAGTGAGAACATATCACTTAAACTACACGTTCTTAAAACAGCACTTTCCATGATGAATCCTTCATGTTTTGTCTGTTTGTATATTTACGAAGCAGGAGTTTAAATTGCAGCTTGGGGTAAACATAGATGTTCGAGACTTATTTCTTCCCATTTTGCTTCTAAGAAGACAGGTCAGGAAATACCCTTGCCTGGATCTTCAGGTGGAGGCAGAGTTGGGGCGGATTCCTGGTTTCTTTCAGGCTTCCCATTTTCTTTTGGTTTGTAGATTATTTGGGGGCAGCCCAAGGTTTAGAGGGACCTAGAGACCTAGTTCCAACTCGTGTCCCTGGGGATTGACCCACTAAAGAATGTTTAAGAAATTGAGAATTTTTAAAGTAGAACTCTGCCCTACCTGAGGGACTAGTGAAAATAGTTTTTCCTTCAGAGACACCAGGGTGGACATAAATTGCTGGGAGAGGATCGTCTGAACCACAGAGAAGCGTAGGTTAGATTTCTTTTAACACCTCTAATTACATAGTAACCCACTTCTCTCTCAGTAGCAATATGCAAAGCATGATTGATACTTCTGTTATTTCAGCAGCACTTACCCTCCTTTTATGGAAGTGGATTGGAATTTCTAGACCTCTGGAATCTGATTCTTTAAGTGTTCTCACCTCAGGCCAGGGGCCAAGGCTAACCAGTGTTTTGTGACACCCTGTGCTTGGCACTGAGCAGGATTATTGTAACTAAAGACTGCATACTTAACTAGTCACTATTTTATGCATTGAGAATTATGAAGTTTGTCATTCTGAAATATTAGAATTGATTTTTTTTAAAGTAAAAGAAAAGTCCTTCCCTTTGTATGTTAAAGTATTACTAATGAGCCTTCCTGTCTCTTTTTCCTCCTTCATCTTCTGTAGTGTGCCGAGATTTTGCTGTCCTGGAGGACCACACCCTGGCTCACAGCCTGCAGGAACAAGAGAGTGAGTAATACCTCTCATTTCTGCTCCTTCAGTTTTCTTTTTTTAGTGGTAGCTTGAGGCTGGTTTCTTAGGGCTTAGGTAGGGAGAGAGCACAGTCACTTGGCGTCACCATCCATACATTCTGAAGGATTTCTTTAGGCAAATGATGCCTGGGTGAGCAGTGAAGTTTTGGGCATGTTTAAGTAAGACAGGCTGCCAGGGATTAGTAGACCGCTGCATCTCTAGGAGGAAAAGAGGGGTTTGAACCTTTTTTCTTGCCTTTTGTTGTAGGAGGGACACAATGGTTGTAGATTTATCTGGGGTGCATGCGTAGAAGAATCTATTCTTGCTCCTAGGATAGGGACCTGAACAGTTTTCCCAGGCAACCATGGTATAAATGAGATCACATTGTGGATTTTTCTGAATCTTTTTTTCCGTGTAGTGATGGAAAGTAAATCTAAGCTACGCATGTTATGTTAAAGTACATATTTGTGAATATATGATTTGTGAATTCACATATAAATACAAAATTAAAGTTTTGAAAAATGCAGTTAATAAATAGAGTGACAACATGTAGTAGTAGAAAGAGCATTAGCCCTGGCTTTAGAATATTCGTGTAGATGTCCTGGCACTGCCACTTTGTTGCTGTGTGACCAAAGGCAAATTATTTAATCTTTTTGATCCTCTTTTTACTTAATGGAAAAGTGGCGATATTAATTCCTTGCTCTTTATTATATATTGTTGTTGAGACAATAAAACGAAGTGATGGATGCAAAGCTATTGCTGTGGTAAAGCTCTTAAGATTATTATGGCATTTATTACTAACAAACTAAGGCGTGATTAATTCCTGTCCTCAATCTTTTTGTTCCAGTTGAGCATCATTTGGCATCAAACGTTCAGCGGAACCGTTTGGTCCAGCATGATCTCCAGGTGGCTAAACAGCTCCAAGAGGAAGATCTGAAAGCGCAGGCCCAGCTCCAGAAGCGCTACAAAGACCTGTGAGGATTTGGGAGGTGGGAGGGGTAGTGTCAAGACTGGTTTTCTCTGTGGAGCTAGCCAACAGGGCAGGGGAAAAGGAGCCTACTTCTGTTCCTCTGATTCCTTTTACTGTTAGATTACAGTCTTACAGTGGATAGCTAACAGTTTTTTTGATTTGAAAATATTTTGTTGTTGTTGGAACACTTGACCAGGTTTAAGGACATGTGGATGATGGTGTAAATTCTAACATTTTTTTAGCTGTATGACTTTGGGCCAGTTAGTTAACTTCTCTGAATTTATTTTCCAATTTATTTTCCTTCCCCATAATGTGGGGAAAATAATCTCTGTCCCCTCTGTCGCGTAGTTTCTATGGGGAGTCCAGTGAAATAGTGGACATCAAAGAACTTTGTGGGTTGTGTTGGTTCCTTTACTGTGTTCTAGCTGTGTTTGCTGCTCTTACTTTCCTTGCTTTTCAGTACATGACAGAATGTTCTGAAAAGCTCTGAAGTGTAGACTCAGTTATCTTCATAACTTCAGTGTCTGACAAAAGTTCTCTCTAGTAGCCTCGTTTAACAGACAGATAAACGGAAGTGATTATTTCTCAGGTTTCTTTTGGCACGGTGACTTTTATACTGTTTCAGTGTTATAAAACTCCCAGGATACATTTCTTGTTTGAGAGTGGCTCTTACATCCTAAATCTTTCATGTGGGTAGATTCAACCACAGATACTGTGTTGAGGAGGAAGGGGTAAAGGAAAAATGGAAGGAACCCCTTAATTTAGTTTGGTGTCATATTCAGGTAAAAAGGGAAAGCCAGTCATTTTTGCTAACTTATAGGAAGGGTTTGCCCTTCTGTTTATTATTTGTAGAGAGGACTTTATTAATCATTTCGTTAAGCTTCCTTGCTTTGTAAATAAACACTTTAATTGATTCGTGCTAAATCTGGCACCATGAAAGGAGACCAGAGATATGAATAAGACAGCCGTTACCTTTAAGGGCCTCAGGAAAACACCTTGAGCATTATATATCTAGAGATACATGCATGAGTCACAGATAATTGAAATGTAAATTTCATGCCTATTTAGACAGAAGAGACTGGGAAAAGCTTCACAAGACAGATGATATGTTTAATCTGAAACTTGAAGGTTAATTATAAGTTTATAGTGATGGGGAAATGCATTCTAGCCAGAAGGAGCAGCATGCCTAAGGGCAGGAGGTAAAAGGACTTGGAATCTCATGTTAACTGCAAGAAGTTCAGTATTGCTGGAGTGGAGAGTGTATTTACGGACAGAAGTAGGAAGTGAGGCCAGAAAAGTAGTCAAAAGCTGGATCATAAAGGTCACGATAAGTTATGTTAAAGATTTCAGGTTTTGTAGAGTTTAAATTATAAGGAATGGAGAACCATTGAAGTAGTTTTAGATTTCCATTTTGGGATCTTATTCTGGAGAGTAGGTGGGTAAAGGCTTGGAGTGGGCAAGATTTGAAGACAGCTATTGTGAGCAATGGTAAAATTAAGAGATGATGAGGCTTGAATGAAGACTGGTGGTAGTGGTGGTAGTGAACGTCATGGTAATGGAGATAAAAGAGGAAGAGAGATATTTGAGATGTTACGAGGCTCAGTGTCACAGGTTAAGGTGAGAGCCAAAGCTAGAATGTCCTAGAGTTCTAAATTCATTGCCCTTTACGTTATTCACTATTCTCTGTTAGAAAGGCCAGTTCTGAGGTTGATGCAGATGTTTAAAATCCTGAATTAGGTTAATAACAGTATAATGAGCTTATTCAGAAATTATTAAGACAAATCACTCAAATACAAATCAGCAGTAGAGAGTAATATTTTATACGTCCTAAATGAGAGAAGAAGCAGGTATTATATTTCTGCCTGAGACTTCAAGGTTTTAGAATTGTTCCTGGATGAAATAAGTAAGCTGGAAGGGAAGACTTTCAGTTCACTCCCTGCAATTTGGAGAGCTGGACCTCTCAGGAAGGATGAAATGCTGCCGTTCTCATTGAACTGGAACCATTTATTCAGTCTGGATACCGGGGCTACTGTCCCAGGTCAGGATTGTTGCTTGCTTACTGCTGCTTTCTCCGTTGCGCTTTCCCAGGAGTCTGTGTAATTAGCTGACTCAACCAGAGCTGGTACTTCTTGGAAATACGGTTTGAAATCATTAAGCTCAGATGAAACTTCACTTACTTATTTTCTGTACCAGAAGGTACATCTTCTGTGTCACTTGTGACCTTTAACACTTCATTTGGGTTTGCCTTCTCTGCGGTGCTTCTCCTTTCTTCCCACTTACTATCACATCCAATGTAGTTATTAGTCACTTAATTCTATGCAGATTTTACATTAATTTGGGAGTTTCAGGTAGATGCTTGAATGAAGAGAGATAGAGGCCTTTGAAAACTAAGTCCATGATTTTGTGTATGATTCTTAATTATTATAATGAGTGAATAAAGAGAAATACAGGAATTGCTCTGAGTAGATTTTCATTTATTTTCATTTCTTTGGTTTGAATAGATAAGAATAGTATGATATTAGACTTACAATGTGAAGTTACTAAGTGTAAACTTTTATAGCTTATAAAATGGCATGACAGAATGATTTGTGGTTATTAGTGGTATAGGCAGGACCGAGAACAGGCCCCAGTGGGGTGAAGTGATATGGTGGTATAGAAGAGGCATGGAGTTTTCCATTGTTGGGTGTGATGATGAGATTCCAGTTCTACCACATATTTTCGTTGTGATCTTGAGAAAATGATTTAACTTCCCTGGGCCTTAGTTTTCTCATCTGTAAATGTGACTGTGTGAGCCTCTTTGCATCTTTATCTTGAAGATAAAGTGAGAAAAATAATGTGCTTCTCATACAGTGAGTATTCAATAAATTGTGTTTATTATTTTTAGGAAATACATTATTTTTTATTTTCCTTATTCATGTTTTCACCTTTGCTTTTTAGTGAACAACAAGACTGTGAAATTGCTCAGGAAATTCAGGAGAAGCTGGCTATTGAGGCAGAGAGACGACGCATTCAGGAGAAGAAGGATGAGGTATAACTTAGTTACTGCCCCTCTCCCTCATGGAGAAAGGGGTGCTCAGCTTTAGAGCAAAAACTTTCTGTAGTCACGGGCTCAATGAAGGTTGCTGAATGGGAAGCAGAATGCCTCTTATTTGGGCTGCATTTTCCTCTGTGGACCATGGTTTATACCCTCTTGACTATGTAAGTGGTAAAAGTCTTGAGAGATAATGATAATTTCACATACGATGTGAGTTAATTTCCTATGACTGCTGTTACAGATTACTCCTGCAAACTTGGCTTAACAGAAATTTACTGTCTTAGAGTTCTGGAGGCTAGAAGTCTAAAATCTGAAGTGTTGGCAGGGTCACGCTACCTCTTGGGAAGGATCCTTCCTTGCCTCTTCCTAGCTCTTGACTCCTGGCAATCTTTGGCATTCCTTGGCTTGTATCTGCATCACTTCAGTCTCTGCCTCTATTGTCACATGACTTTCTTCTCTGTCTGTATCTTTGTGTCTTCCTGTCTTCCTAGAAGGACATCAGTCATTGGATTGAGGACCCACCCTAATTCAGTATGACATCAGCTAAACTAATTACATCTGCAAAGACCGTTTCCAAATAAGGTCCCATTTTGAGGTTTGGGTAGAAATGAATTTGGAGTGGGCACACTGTTCAGCTTACTACAAGGCGTCTGCCCCTGGGTTGTTTTTGCAGCATTAGAGAGAGCCGCCTTTTGAGTGGAGCCTGCGCAGGATGCAGGGAGTAGTCCTTGGGAGAGGCCAGGAGCAGGCATTGCTCTCATTCTTTCTCTTTTTCTTAAAGGTTTCACTTTCCTGTGATCCATTGGTTAAAAAGACTGATCAGTTTGATTCTCTCTATATATTTAAGTCCTATTGTTTAAAGGCTGAAAATGACTAAAATTACTAATAGTGTTTGGTTTGTGAGAAGACTTGAATTTACCATTAGCTATTATTTCCATTTGTGTTATATTTTCGGCACTTCTTTTTTTTTTTTTTTTTTGAGATAGCGTTTTGCTCTATCACCCACGGTGGAGTGCAGTGGTGTGATCTTACTGCAGTCTCCGCCTCCCAGGCTTAAGTGGTCCTCTCGCCTCTTGAGTAGCTGGGACTGCAGGCACACGCCCCCACACTTGGCTAATATTTTTAAATTATTTTTTTGTAGAGACGAGGTCTCACTGTATTGCCCAGGCTGGTTTCAAACTCCTAAGCTCACGCCACGCTATCTTCCTGCCTCAGCCTCCCAAAGCACTGGAATTCCTGGCATGAGCCACTGTGCCCAGCTTAGTTTCAGCACTTCTTATGAACAATTTATTTCATTTTACATCATTCCTATGCTACCTGCTTTCACACCTGTTATGCCGTACTTGGTCACTGTCTTGATTTATAATAAAGAAGAAAATGATTTATTATTTTTAATAGTTGGATGACGGTATGGTTTGTTATGCACCCAGAAACACTTTTGAGGGTTATAAGCATGGTGTTAGTAATTACATAAACTGAAACTGTACTGCGCAAACTGGCATTTATGATCATCCTGTTAAATAGATATGATCGGGGTCATCAGTAAACAGCCCACATACACTGCTGCTCCTACTGAGCCACTCCTGTTCCTGGGGGACTTCTTGTTCAATGCCAGATGAATGTGAGACACCTGGTACGAGTGTAGTGAGTTGTTTCTTAAAGAAACAAATCATGATCGCATGATAATCAGAACTGCAAGTAAAAATTAGGGATTATTTTTGATACTTCCTGTAATACACAGGAGGCTCTTTCTTAGTATTCAATGTGTTGCCTCTTTATAGTCAAGACTTTGCTTTGGGGATGACACTGGGAACTAAAAGAAGTGATTGTATTTTGTACACAGGAACGCTTCTATTTAAAAAATACCAGAGTAATGAAGTTGGCTTCTTATAAATGCTACTGCTGTCCTGTGGGGGTTTTTTTCTCCATTTAGGGAAAAACAGGATAGAAAGAGAAAATAAAACACTTTATTTAAATTATGTAGAATCTAAACAGTAATCACAGTAAGTAGTCTCTTGGTAATACTATATAAAGTAAGCAGTTCAGTGATTAACTCCAGTTTCAAGATGTAGAAATTAAGTATTAAAGAAGTAAGTGACTGATTCCAAGTTATAAAATGCCAGAGAAATGTCTGTACAATTCAGGTCTCCTGACTGCTTCTGACTTAGACATACTGTGGCATACATGAAACATGTGGACTTTGGAGTTACACTTACCTAGGTTTGGATTTTAGTTCATTAACTGTTTAGCTGTGTGATTTTCAGCATCGCACCTAACTACGCAGAACCTCAGGTTCCGAAATGGGTTGACTCACGGTAGTTGTGCATACCCTAAAGGGCTGTTGTGAGGTCAATGAGTTGAGGCACTTCGAGCACCTGGTGCATGTTAAATTTATAATTGCCCTTTCCTTGATTCTGTTATAGAGAGAGATGTGCTGCATAGGGCGGAATTCAGCAGGCTTCAGTGTGTTTCAGTATGGTGTGCTTTGAGAGGTCCTCAAGCGTTCACATACTTGTCTTTACAGGTCTCCCACTAGCTTGCCCTCAGAAGAGTGGAAAAGTTAAATGAGAAATCCGGTTGTGTAGGTGTGTTGACTAGACAAGCCTATATAAACTTCATTCAGACTTTTTGACTTTTTAACTCATAGCTCAGATGAGAAGATGGCTACTGTGCCGAGGTGGTCTTTTATCATAGAAAATTGTGACTCTCAGCTGACTAGTATGTTGTCAATATTAAATGAAGAAAATTTGCATGAGTTAAGTTTGTCATTGTGAGATATATGAAAATGCATGTTTATTTTAGTCTGTTGGTAACAGGGTGCCTGAAAGGGAGAGGAAACTAATACTGAGACAGTAGTGCTAATTCTTCCAGCCAATTTTTGAAAAAGAATTGCTTGTTACTCATGAACTCTCTTAGTTCCTTTTTTTTCTTTTTCTTTTTTTTTTTTAAGACGGAGTCTTGCTCTGTCTCCAGCCTGGAGTACAGTGGTGCAATCTCCGCTCACTGCAACCTCTGCCTCCCGGGTTCAAGCGATTCCTGTGCCTCAGCCTCCCAAGTAGCTGGGACTACAGGCGCCCGCCACCATGTCTGGCTAATGTTTTGTATTTCAGTAGAGATGGGGTTTCATCATGTTGGCCAGGATGGTCTCGATCTCCTGACCTTGGAATTCACCCACCTCAGCCTCCCAAAGTGCTGGGATTACAGGTACAAGCCACTGCACCCAGCCTCCTTTTTTTTTTCTTCCCTTTTCCCCTCAATGCTCTTCTGCTTCCCCGTAGAGTCTACTTGGTTAATAAGGATTTATTCAGCAGCAGGGCTGTGGAAAATCTCTCTCTGGGTTTCCACCCAAATCTCTTTTAGAGATTTTTGGGGTCAGTTTTCCTGGGTAGTTAACACCCCATAAAATACCAGATGTAGAGACTGAGAACCTTTTTTTTTTAAATTTTTTCTGAACAACATTGTGTGTAAGAGGTAGTGGAGTTATACAACCTTGCATGTGTAAATTAGCATTTCTAGCTTTGTCATAGTATAATTTTATTTTGTTTGTTAACAAAGCACAGATGTAAGGAAAGTGGCATTTCCATGCAGGAGACTGATGTGGAAAATTAAAAAAAAAATTTTTTTTTTTTTTTTGGTCTTTCCTCACCTTCCTCACCTTCCCTCCCCTCCCCTCACCTTCCCTCCCCTCCCCTCACCTTCCCTCCCCTCCCCTCACCTTCCCTCCCCTCGTTTCTCTTCTTCACTTTCTTGCTCTCTCACTCTGTCTTGCTCTTCTGTCTCTGTTTATTTATTTTTAGCTCTTTTACATGGTTTCTCGAGTATAGTAGTTCTCTCTAGGCTTCCTATTGGAAGGAGCTTGTTGACTTTGGGTATACTGGACGCTATGAATTGGTGGTTAATAAAAATGGGTTAAGGTTAATCAGTTAATTTAACTTAGTTATTCTTAAATAAAACTCTAAAAGTGTGTGTGTACCTATGTGCATGACTAGATGTGTGTGTGTGTGCGCGCATTTAAACTTAGGTTTAAAATATATGTGAATTTGCAGCTATTTTAGGGAAAAACTTTTTTTTCCCTTAAATAAATATTAGCATGGACAAACATGTCATGTAAAGTTTGTGGCACTAGTTTTAACTATTTGAAGCCCTTTATAAAAGCATAAACTGCTCAGGGTAAGCCTACTAACCAATTCACATTAAAAAATGAATCTAGTATGAACCGTGGTACTTACACATAGCACTCTTAGATTAGAATTTCATGTTCCAAAAGAATATTTACACATTATTTGGTAGTATTTAGAGGCTAGATCAAACAATACCATTCAGCTATTAAAAATTTTCCTGTGTTGTAAGTATTGTAAAAATAAATTTTTTTTAATATATATATATATATATATGACTAGAAAGGGAGATGGGAGAGAGATGGGAGGCTTCTTGTTGAGGTCTTCCTCTCTTCTTATTATACTGATGTTTTTACATCCATAGAATTGATATTTTCCTGTTTTATCGAACGACCCTTTTGGATTTATACCTGCCTTGACATCCCTACCGAGTTAGATGTTAATTGCTAGTTAATAAGTTTAGCAATTAAATGGAATGATTTTCTTTTTTTTCTTTCTGACAGTCATTTGATAGTCACATTTTTAAATCACCTTAGATTGTTTTTAAATTCCAGATTTCCTCTTTTTGAAATGCACTGCCATTGGAGGATAGAGGTGAAACGTTGAGAAGTAACCCTCTATCCCTTATATATGTATATGATATAATCCTCTATCCCTTATGTGTTTATATGATATAACCCTCTATCCCTTATATATTTATATGGTATAACCTTCTATCCGTTATATATTTATATGATATAACTCTCTATCCCTTATATATTTATATGATATAACTCTCTATCCCTTATATATGTATGTAACTCTATCCCTTATATATTTGTATGATATAACCCTCTATCCCTTATATATGTATATGATAAACCCCTCTATCCGTTATATATTTATATGTTATAACTCTCTATCCCTTATATATTTATATGATATAAATCGTATACAAGTTGAGCATCCAAAAATCCAAAATCTAAAATGTTCCAATGAACATTTTCTTTGAACATCATGTGTGTGCTTCAGAAAGTTTCAGATTTTGGAGCATTTCAGATTTTGGATTTTTGGATTAGGGATGCTCAACTTGTAAATGACAAAAATACCCCAAGGAACCCAACACCGTGTTTCAGTTACTTGTCATCTACTTGGGAAAGATGTGTGGGGATCCTCTGGGTGCCACTGCACCTTGTTTATATTAATGCTTCTCTTAAAGCCATGTCTTCACGTCTTACATTATGCTAATTGTTTTACCGCAAGATAAGAACTTTAAGAATATTTACCATATATACCAATCCCCTAGTGCTCATAGCACTATTCTTTAAAGCTAAAGAGTTTGGCACAGGGCACATGTCTGGTCTACTGAAGGGAATCACTACATCTGTGTTTTCATTAAAATTACCTTTCTCTAGTATTCTAGAGATCCTTAACTGTTTCCTTCCTTATGGTTATAGTTTCAAATTTTCCAGAGTTAGCTGAGCTTGGGTAACAGAAGGAAGAGGTGAGATACAATGGTAAACTCCCATTTCAATTAATGTGTTTACTAGGAAGTCTTCTATTGAACAAGGTTATTTTTACGTATCAGCCCAGAAGTCTATCTCATTAATTAAAATATAACTAAAAATGACTTTAAAAGAGCCTAAGAGTTCATTTAGATTTGTTTTCCCAAGTTATGTAGAACATTAATTATCTGAATTTTTAAAAAATGTGAACAGAAGCTTCTGTCATACATTTGGAAAATTACAGGTTACTGGAAGGTAACAGGTGTTTTTTATTTTTCTTTTAAAGTTTTAAAATTTGCCTAATATGCATCTTGAAGAGTTAGATATGCTGCATGCTTTCTATTGAAAGTTGTGGTTTTTTTTTTTGGATAAAGTTTTGAGGCCAGTGTTCTCAGGAACAGGCTTGGAAAGTGCTCTTCTAGACTTACCATTAACAGGAAGGAAGCTGAGGACCAAGGAGATTGTTTATATCAAAGATGACTAAGCTGGTTAGCTACATCCAAGTACTGTGACTGATAATTGCCATCTTCAGCTTGTTGCAGGGGGATTTACTTTATATTGAAATTATCTAACAAAACTCATTGCATAGTAATGTTGGAAAGCAGGGAGGAGAGCAGACTTGTGCTAAACCTCAGCTATAGTATAGTGGCAGTTTTCCATTGAATTTTTGTCCTTTCTTTCCTCAAGCCTAGCAGACCTTTTCTTTTAGAAAAGAGCTGAGAGCTTAGAAGAGCAAAAAAGTTTGGGTGCTAAGGTGCATGACATATTATGATTATTATTTTTTTGACTTGATTAAAAGTACTTTCTTTGACTGACTAATGCATTATAAAGAAGGGGCATAATTCTTTTTTTCTCTCCTGGTTCTTTACACTGAGAGAGTGGCATATTACTATGCTTCCATTAGGACTAAATTCAGTAGCAGGAGGGCAGTTATAAGCAATTATATGAATAGAACTCTGAATTTCTGAGACTTTGATAGAAAAACTATCCCCTAAATCTGAATGTTAAAATGAATCTCTTCTCTTACAGCTCAAGTTGGACATGATTTTAAGAGACACTGGGAGATAAATAGTCACCACTAATATCAATTTTGGGGGGAACTTCAATTCTTTATCTGTACAATGGAAAGTTTGAACTATTCAATCTTAAAGCCAAATGTCTTTGACTCCTTAATTTATCATTTTAATAAAGCTTGTGTCTACCAGGTCCGTGGAGCGTAGTTTATAATTTTTGCTGGAAGTTGGACCTGGTAATTTTCCTTTATGTTTTCCTCAGTTATAGTGGGGGAAATATTTGTTTACTGTAAAGCAAAACACTTAGGAAAATATAGTTCTGGTTGCTTAGTAAACATACAGCTCAAGGAAATGTTTACATTTCTTTCTACTTCTGTAGTAAACATTATAGAAATTTGGAAAATTCTTCTGTAACAAATAATAGTTTTTTGGAGAATAGGGTATCTGTCCCTTTCCTCTCTTCCTGATTGATACATTACTTTGTAAGATATTAAAGCTAAAGAATCTGGCACAGGAATTGGCACCTGGTAGACATAGTTGTTAAAATGATACATTAGGGAGTCAAAGATATTTGGCTTTTTTAAAGATTGAATAGTTCAGACTTTTCGTTGTACAGATAAAGAATTGAAGTTCCCCTCAAATTCATATTAGTAGTGACTGTTTCTTTCCCAGTGTCTCTTTAAGCCATGTCTAACTTGAACTGGAAAAGAGATTAATTTTAACTTCCAGATTTAGGAGATAGTTTTTCCATCAGTCTTAGAAATTCAGAGTTCTATTCATGAAAAGTATACTTGTGTTAAGTAGGATTATGTTATCTTTCACCTCTCACTCTGAGTTGCAACGTTTTGTGAGTGCCCACTTAAGTGTCTGACACTGTTGCATGGGCGTTTACATAGATTACTTATCAAAAAGTATGTATATATGTGTCAGTTACAAGTGTTTTAATGGTACATTTTAAGTTTTTATTTGGCATAAAGTCAGATTTGTAAGGCTATTTGGATGAATAGTTAAAAAAACAGCTGAGGATATGGATAAATATTGCTAACTACCTAGATTGAGCATCCAGCTTGTTTCTGCATAGATGTGAAAAAAATTAATTCACTTAAATTTTTTTTTAAACTGTATATTGCCATCTTAATGTATTTTTCATTTGCACCTATTCATGAAATTTGAAGAATAGTAATTCTTGCTTTAAATGAACGTTAACGTTAACATTTAGTACTTCTTGTTTCCTTATTGATAAATATAAAGAAGTAAGTACCTCAAACTACCAATGATTGTTTTTACCATTTCTCCCAGTGAGTATCGTTCCCATATTTGTATGAGCCTTTAAGAATCTGATGATAGCTATAGACTTCTCTCGTTAAAAGTGTGCATGAGCTTATAAGTTTATAGGCTATTTTGTGGGGCTTTCACAGAAATAATCTTCAGATTCAGAACATTGTCACACTGCAGCTCAAAACCTTTAGTAATCCTTCATCCCCTATGTTACAGACACCAGACTTCTTAAGATTGTCTAAAAGGAATTCCTGTGATCCAGCCTTAGGCTGTTTTTCTAGCCTCAGCTTTTTCTGCAGCACTCCGTATCTCATGTTCTAATTGAACTATTGGCTGTTCCTTAGATAGGTGCCCATTAAAATGTTCACAGCTTTGCTGACGTTTCCTGTTTCGACTTTGCTTGTTGGAATTCAGTTCTCTGTTCAAAGCTGAACACAATGCAGAATCTTGTACTGATTCCTTTAAGCAAAAATCGTATTCCCTCTTTTGTACTCCCATGGACATTTTTTTGAGGCATTTACAATTTAATTTTATTGTAGTTATTTATTTATTTAAAAGTTTCTATGAAACTTTTGTTTCCATAAAAGGATGATGATCTTTTACGGAACATTTCGGAATGTTATTCATCATTCTGTGCCTCACAGTGCCTCTCAATAACTGCTAAAAATTTGCCTGGGGATGAACAGGTGGGAGACAGAAGGAAGATTGTTTTCTCTTTTTCAGTTAAGGCAGTGGTATTCTAATGCAAAGTGAAATCAAAATCCCCGTAAGAGTTCTTTTCAATAGTTTTTAAATTAAATTATAATTATAAAGTTTTGTAGATTACTACATCCTGCCCCATCTAGACTTACTGAATCATCAGCTTGAAGAAGGGACCCACAAACATGTGTTTTTAAAATTCTGTTGCGTAACTTGCTTTAGGAAGTACTGAGTTTTGAATGTCTTTATGTTGTGTTAGATTTAAATTTCAATTAAAAAAAGCCTGTCTCACTTATCTAGATCATGTGCTACTCCTGTTGAGCAATCATCTGGCGTTTGAAGATGTGAAATTAATGCCAGAAAGTCTAGAGAGCCATGGAGAGAGCACATACAAACTTGGCAGTGGAATGTCACGCCCCACTGTATGGAGTTTGTTTGTTCTTTGGTAATGCATGTTTCCATTCTCTCTTGTCTTTGCAGGACATAGCTCGCCTTTTGCAAGAGAAGGAGTTACAGGAAGAAAAAAAGAGAAAGAAACACTTTCCAGAGTTCCCAGCAACCTGTGCTTATACAGATAGTTACTATTATGAAGATGGAGGTAACAATTCCTGCATCATGATCTGTTCTATCCTTAGACCCGACCATCAAACACTCCTTTAATTTTGTTCATGAAGTGACCTTAGGGATCTGGGAATGTTTCTCTTATCCCCCGGCACTGGGTACATTTAGATATGTGGCAGAATTCTATTTGAATCTAATAAATTCATGTTTTGTTTTGCTTTGTTTTGTTTTGTTTTTGTTTTGTTTTTGAGATGGAGTCTTGCTCTCTCACCCAGGCTGGAGTGCAGTGGTGCTATCTCAGCTCACTGCAACCTCCGCCTCCAAGGCTCAAGCAGTTCTGCTCCCTCAGCCTTCCAAGTAGCCAGAATTACAGGCATGTACTTCCACGCCTGGCTAATTTTTGTATTTTTAGTAGAGACGAGGTTTCACCATGTTGGCCAGGCTGGCCTTGAACTCCTGACCTCAAGTAATCCGCCCGCATCAGCTTCCCAAAGTGCTGGGATTACAGATGTGAACCACTGCGCCTGGCCTTATCTGTTCTTTAGTTGGACAACCAGAGCCACTTTCATGACTGCTCAAATTTGAATATGATTTTGTAAGAATTGGCATGCATTCTTTTAAACTTCAGCAACTTGGAATGCTTTATTATAATCTAAGCACATAAATGGGGTGTGGAAAATGGTGGATGAGTCTCTGGACTTAACCTTTCTCAAGAAGTCTGGGCGGTACTGTTTGAAGCAGGAAAGTGGTATGAAGAAAGAAGGTATACCATGCATCAGTTACTGGGTAACGAAGCTTTGTTCTGTGCTTTCTTGTCTTTTAAACCTAGGCCAATGGTTTAGCCTGCTGATGACAAACAATATTAAATTTTAAGATTTCCGTGTTCATTGTTTTTCTTTTAATCCTTTCTTTGCTATTTGATTACCGTATAGTATGATTTCTGAGGGAGTGATTCCCACAGTTTCGCCTCTCTGGTGCCTGCTTTGCAGTGTGGTGGTGGTTGGTGTGGTGGTGGCAGTTGTGGTGGTGATTATTTATCTTAAAAATGTGTTGGGAAATGAGTATTTGCAAGTATTGTTGAGTCCTTTTCAAAGACCTGTCAAAGCAAAGACATTCCTATAGTTTCAAGTGTCAGTATTTAATGAAATTCAGCTTGAGGACCAATACTTAGGATCGCAAGTGAACAAAACCTAAAGGCAGCTTTTAGAGAGGAAGGAATTTAAGGTCAGTGATCCTAAAGGGCCTTGCAAACCAGTCATCAACTGCTTTTCTATAATTCCATTATGAAAGGTAAGTATGTGTTTCTCTGATGAGTAGAATGAAAGCAATGTATATGTAGGTGATGGGATTATTATAGTTTGAGTGTAATTTTGCCCAGTACCATTTTTTGCTCTAAATTTACCATAATCAGTAGAGCTCAGCCTTTTTAGTCAGCAGACTGATTCTCAATTTATTGCTTGATGTGTTCTTCCTCTGTATGTAAAACACTCATCTCTTTTTTGATAGCCATTTTCTTTTTGCTGGTTTTTCTGATGAATCTATATGTTATGTCATTTAAAAAGAAAACTTACTGCAACATTTTGCTGTACTAAAGATCAGAAAGTAAAGTGTTACTCTTCACCTTCAGTTTAAATCTTAGAATTGTGGTCCGGTGTTTTTCTCTTTTTTAAAAATTCTACTTTGGAGGTGTATTCACTGTAAACATTATTATTTTAAACTGTTCAGTCTACAAAAGCGTTAGGATGACAAGGAATTAAATAAAGTATTAATTTTAGGATTCCCCTCTTAAAGCCTTATACTGACTTGAATTGAGATCAAACCTGTCTTTTTGATCAGAGTACTGTCATCCCGATTTGTTTCTTTAGGGCAGGATACTATGTTAAGAATTCATTGGTTTTTCAGGGACACATAAAAGCTTTTAAAAGTATTCTATATTTATTTTCATTACTCTGATAAATTTGTAGAGATTAGCATATATGCTTGTTTCTTTGGGGAGAGACAGACTTTGAGGGACTATTGAGGAACAGGAAGTGGTGACCTCCTGAACATGTGCATGTAAATACTCAAATTTCTCTTGCCTCAGCTGTGGTGTTGGGAGATTATATATTGTTGAACATAGAGTCCTTATGAATATACCCTTGTGTTAGACCAAGTTCAGTTCCACAGAAACCATATTACAATTCAGCTCTTATTTACAAAACAGTCCTTCAGTTCTTTGCAGTGGTCCTTTTCCAACACATCTGGGATATTCTTTCATTATACTTCTCTGTGTGTCTTTGTATATCTATTTGATTTTTTGCCTCACTTGCATAGTAATCACAGTATATCATTACAGAAATGGTCGATTTTTCAACTTTTATTTAACTCGAACTTTAATACATTATCTGTTAGAATGATTATTTATAGATTTTCTACAAATTTAAAATTGTATTAAACATTTGTCAAATTTATATCAACTCTTAAATGACATATATTATTTATTAGTGAATCCATGTTTTTCTTTCAAAGCCTCTTACTGAAGTCATATTAGTGATTTTTTTTTTTTTTTTTAAAGTCATGGTCTTTGGAGTCATAAGACTGTGGTTCAAGTCCTATCCCCTCCTTAGAACAATATTAATTTTAATGAAGTTATGTACTAAATAAAATGGAGATTATAAAAGTAAATCCTTCATTTGCATGTTAAGAAGATCAAATAATGCAATTTTGGTAAAGTACTTATCGTTTATACATATATCAGTGTTATATGTGTATAATGTAAAATTTTGTATATCTCTCATTTTGAAAGCCAAACATGGAGGCACACATATAAAATGCAGATCTATATGTGTATAAATATATATGTGTGTGTGTATATATATGTATTATGTATATGCCAATACATAATACCTATATATGTTTTGGCAGTGAGGGAGTAAGTTATATTTGCCAAATAACTTGGTCTCAAGAAACAAGTCTCAGTCCTCAACTGTATGCGGTTTTAAAGCATTCAGATAGATTCCTCACCTCATCTTTTTCTTTCCAAGATTTAAAGCTGTCACAACAAATTTATTATTAGAGAATAAATTTTTTCCAGTCAGCTCTGTAAAAATGTAGTAACAGCTCTGTAATAATTCTGCAACTTATTTCCTAAAAGTAAAACTATGAATATCAATTAACTATTTAGAAGGAATTAAAAATCATAACATCACAAATTCATGTCAAAACCCATTTCTTTTTGTTTCTTTTGAGCTGGAAGGTAGGCTTCACTTGTGCAACTCGTGAGTGAGCCCATTTTTATTAACACTATAAACCATTGTTCCCTGGATGTGGTCATTAAGTAGCTGGTCTGTATTATATAACTTTACAGCAGTAGTCACTTGATTCTCATGTTGTCATGATAGACTTAAAATAATAGTTTATTTGAAAGAGCAGGTAATTTTTTTTTATCACTGGGTAATTCTTCTGTTTTGCTTTTGATTTTATGTAAAATATAAACTTAACCATAAATGATGAAGATAAATACTTGTACAGACTGTTTAGAAAACAGATTTTAATTTAGTATTGTCTTTGGAAGCAAGCTTTCTTTTCTTCTGGAAAGCTCAAGAGGAAACAATTTGAGGTTTTTAATGGAAACTTACATCCTTGGTACATTTAGCACATATCTCTTTCTTGCTGTATTCCTTTAACAGATTAATATCAAATGAAACAGTTTAAAGGAAAACATAGTTTTTTACTTTCTTTATATCTCATCAACTTACGGCAGCTCTTTGATGCAGTTCAGCGAGTGGTTAATGCCATCACGAAATCTTAGCTATCAGAGCAATTTTCCATGGAATTGGGATTTTTTTTATTTCCAAAACGTAGTAAAAGTTTTAGAAAATGTTAAATCAGTATATTCTTGTAAAGTGCATGTGAATTTGTTGCCTTTGTTTTCACATTATACTTGTGCCTAAAAACGACCTGAAAAAGCACTATATTTGTGCTGTTTTTGAAGTTTATGTTAAATTTGGGGACATATACTTAGCATATATTGTATTTTTATACAAATAATACAGTTTTTTGAAATGTATTTAGGAAGCAACTCCTTTTTATATATTCCATCAAAGCAACCCTTTGAATTTTTTTCCTTTGCCAAGTTTCAACTAAGATTGATAACAGTTATCTAAAGGTAACAGGGTCACGTACTCACTTAAAATTCTCATCTACTTGACCCTCTTTTACGTTGAACTGTAATAGAGGGCTATTTTCTGAAGTGATTGGGTATGTTTGCTTTGGCCACAGAAAGTGGACAGATGGAAGAATATAAAAATCTGTGGATCATTCCTCTGAACTCAAGAGAAACTAGCAATATTCTGATACAGTTTATTGACATTTCCAGTAAGAATATTTGAAAGCCTCTGTCTGAAATTACAAAGCTTAATTTTTTTGTTTTACAAGATTTCTCAACCTCTTTTTACTCTATATTAGTTTCAAATTGGTTTATAAATAGAACTTAATGTTTAATGGCTATAATTTTGTTATTGGCAAATATTAAAGTGTTGTTAGCTCTACCTAATCATGATCAAGCTCTTCTTTCACATTTGTTTCACTTAATCTTAGTTTCTTACCATTTTGACTGTATACCCAGAATTCTTTAGGTATGCATGAACTGTTTCAGTAATGCTCATCCCCTCTTCTCAATTTGTTAAGTTGGAAAAGCAGTTTTCTCCATTTTTAAAGTACCTTAAACTGGGGCCCAGACTCTCCCCTGTGTAATGAGTTCATACTCTCATTAAATTAATCTGCATTTTTATTTTTCACATCCCTCTGCCTCCACTCAGACCAACCAGGGTCAAGGAGGGCCAGGGAATTGGGTTCTGGATTCTCAAGACCTTGTAGACTCCAAAGAGATGGAAAGACTGTGAAGCAGAAGAAAGAGAAACCAGAACATCCGCTGGAGAACTTGGAAGAGCCAGAACAACATCGTTCATCAGAGAGATCCCTGTCATCCTCTAGCTCTGGCAAAGAGAGGGACAAGCCCCAAATTAACAATGAGCAGCATGAAAGGAAACGGTCCACTCAGGAGAGGCCCCGGAGACCTCTGCTTCCCACAATCAGTGGTGAAGTGTTTCTGAGCACTGAATGTGATGACTGGGAGACTAAGAATAACCATCAGACTCGAAATTGGGAAAAACAGTCTCGACACCAAGATCGACTTTCACCCAAGTCCTCACAAAAAGCAGGGCTTCACTGCAAGGAAGTTGTATATGGGAGGGACCATGGGCAAGGTGAGCACAGAAAAAGGAGACACAGGCCCAGGACTCCTCCATTCTCAGAGAGTGCAGAGAGTGAGGAGCAGCTCCACCTCCATGACCCAGGTAATAGAGGACAGTCTCGATGAAGTCCTGGTATCATGTATATAACTACAAACCAATGAATTTAATAAGTATCTTAAGCAGCCTTCCTTTCTCTCCAGTTTGTGCTCATGACTTTGAAATAAATCCTAGAGCAACATATTGTAAAAGGTATACACTTAATCTCAGATCTGTAAGAAGAAGGAAAACATTTGTCACTTTTCCCTTCTGTGAGAATGCACTGGTTCCTTGGAGAGTTATTCCAGGCCCAGGCTCTATTAGAGGTACCCATTCCAGATGTGGTTCTTCATTTACTGAGACTGTGTATCAGAGATTCTGACACCAAGTCAAAACTCCCGAATTTCTGGTTTTACTTCAGTGAACCCAGAAGAGCTGATGAGCCTGTCTTGATAGTGTCTGTCTAACCAAAAGGCCGATAGAGCCGGAAATACTGTTATTTTTTAGGCCTCACCTTTCTCATTTGTAAAACGATGAATTGCATAGGCAGTCTTCTAAGAAAGTGTTTTTCAAATAATATGCCTCAGTTCATTTTCATCAGAATCAGCTGTCAACTAAAAATGGAAATTTCTGGGTTTCACATATATTATCATCTCTGGAGTAAGGCCTGGCAGTTTGGACATGCTTTAGACATGGAGGTGGATTCTTAGGAACTTAAAGTTTAAAGTCATTGCATTAAGTTACTTTTTATGCTCTAACTTTCTCCAGCTCTAACTCTACAGTTGGTGTTCTAAAGTACCAATACAGGTAAGTTATTGGTACCTATATAAGAATGAGGTAAATATTATAGATAAATCTCAAATTTCTGGCACCACTGAGGCTTAACTCTGAAGTTCATCGTTGACACAGTAATGGCTCTGTTTTCTATTAACTGCTGAGGTGGTGTTTTCCATGTGGCTGTAACACTAGGAATCATAGTACCAAGGAGCCAGTCGAGCCCTATCTGTAGTCAGAGAACTTGTTTCTAGGTTGTGGATTCAGGTTAAGTTGGTTTTTCCTGTCATGTTATTTCTTATTAAAGGACTTGGTTATGCAGAAAATTAAAATTTAGTTCCAGAAGCCATTCTGAGTAGCTGCCGCAAATATCCTTGTCTTCGGCTTTGTGCTTGGATTTCAGCCAAAAAGATGGCTTTGTAAACAATTCCAAACTAGATACACTTTGTTAGGGAGGCACAAAGAGCTGTGGAAAAATAGAGGAAAGTGTGATATAATCTATCTTGAGTAGGTTTATGAGGAAATTACACCATTTTCAGGTTTGGAAAGACATTTTGGGATTCCAGAGGCGTGGGGGAAGTATGGAGGAAAAATGGTGATACGCTGACCTCTACGTTTCTGCTTCTGTGAATCTGACTTTCAGGAGTGCTCTGAGGGCTAGTTAGGCTTTATGGCTTTCAGTTATGCTCCAGGATATTTTAAGTAGACTTAGGAAGCATGACACTAAACACTGACTCACAGGCTCCACTACTAGAATTGCAAATGTTTTGTTTTGTTTTTTATTTTGCCACCACAAGGGATTAAAAAACCGTGTTACTAGGCAGATATTAAAATGGCTACAACATGAGCTGCTTTATTTCTATCATTTTATATTCAGCTTGCTTTTTACATTTTACCTTTCTAGCCTCTGTAGGCATTTGATTTTGTAACTTCCTGGAAAACAGGTCAGAGGATTACATTAAAATATAATTACTAGGCAGTGGCATCTATTCTTGCTGTTGTAAAAGCACAATTCTTAAAGTTGTTAGGACAAGCCAAAGTTACATTTAACTTAATAACGAAGAAACTAGTAGGATGACAAGCAGCTGGTTCTAAGAGCATTTGCGGAGCAGCATTAATAGAATCAGTTGAAAGGGAGTGCAAAATGAAATTTTAAATTAAGTATAAGATAACTATCTACAGGGCAATAGGTGTACCTAACCTTTCAGAGTTACTTCTCTGTTGGAGTATAAATTCTTAACAGCTTATCATTTTCTGCAGGTTAACTTCTCAACTCATAGGGCCATAAAATATGTGCACTTTTCTGCTGTGAATTGTTAGTCAGATATACTGTGGCATTCCCTAAATGTCAGACTGGCTTATTACAAATACTCTTACATGATATCAAAAAGAATCTATCATTTTACGTTATTCCAAGCTCAGAATAAATTTATCTTGAATATCAGTACTTTAAACAATTTTATTCTGTAAATTTATTTAAGGCTGAAGTTTTGTGTTCATTTAGGGATGTTCTTGTGTTCTCCAACTGAAGGATGATGAATGGAAAAAAAACAAGGAAGTGTTAAATTAAGATATATATGGAACTTGAAAATACCACTCACCCGCTTTTTTGAAAGCTAGTTTCCAGAGTCTGTTTAGGATACTGAGATGAAGGAAGCTAGTCTGTTAATTTCCTTCATTAATTACATTAAAAAAAAATTTAGACATCTTTGTTTTCTTTACTGACGGCCTTACACTTCTCTGTGAGTTCTTTTTCTGTATCCTTACAAAAATTTTTATCACCTTGGGTCCAGAGGACACTGCAGAGAATGGGCATCCTGACAATGCAGAAATTTAGTATTCCAAGCTGTGGGGATTTTCTACTTAATGAGATTTACACATTCCAATGATACATCAAGGGTTTAAATAAACCGTTTCCCCTCTAAATATTTGCAACTGAGAGATATTACCTCAGATTCTGACTCTTACTGAGTCATCATTCTCTTTTTAACTGCCAGAGGTTATAGTGTTATCACCCTGTCAAACTGAATTAGACTATTCAATGGAATGTTGCCTTTGGTAGAATTTAAAACAATGTGTCTTTAATAAAATTGAAAGTGAAAAATCTTCTTGACTAATTCTGTGGTGTACTTAAGAAGGCGTAATAGTGGAGAAAATTTGGTCTCTTGAAATTTGAGCACATCCCACTGTATTATTTCCCTGGATGACAAAAGTGAAGGAGCTAGGCATGTTCCGTCATCCTTAATTAAGCTTTGGGCTGCTTATTGAAGCATCATTTTTTCTATACATTGGAACATGGTATATATAGCAGACTATTTGTCCACTGACATTGCCCAGTACTGAGTTCCATATCTAATTTCATTTTCTCTGAAATCTGCCTTCCTAGTTATGACTAAGCTAAATAACTCAGGGAGATTTATATTCTGTTTCAGATGGTCCACTCTTGGGACTATGCCACTGTTTTTTTTTGTTGTTGTTGTTGTTTTTGCTGTCCCAAACCACTCAGAAATCTACATTAAGCCCAGCCCAGCATAAGACTCAGTGGCTGTAGAGATGCTTTGAAGTGGTCTGTGCAATCAGGTTCTATTAGGTCTGAAGCTAAGAAAGCCATGTTTACTAGTCTTTGGAGGAAATACAGATGTGTATGAGTCTGTGGCTTCTGAAGCCACAGAAGCCAGGTTCAAAGTTATACAAAGATAGGCTTCACAAAATACTTACATTCTCATCATTTGCCCAGTGTTTGCTTGTATTTTATTTTTTTTTAAATTAATAGCAAGTGAGTCAAGTGTGGTGAGGGATTTTGACAAAAAGCATTTTAATTTACAGTAATTTTAATGGATATAATACACTAAACAGGTGATGCCAATATTAATTGCTAGTAAGAATCAACTGGGGAGTTTTAAAACAAACTTACCCAAGGACAGGGCACACCCAGGGTACTTAATTTAGAATCTGTGGGGTTGGGGCAAATGTTTTTATATGTATTCAAAGCACCCTCATGTGATTTAAATATATAGCCCTGGTTGACAACCACTGGCATAAAGAGACAATCAGGAGTACTTTTTCTTTGTCCTCTGAATAGTTAATTTACTGAAATGAACTGTTTCAGATGAATAATGTTGTTCACTGTGTTCAAAATTTTTATTAATTCTAAATATAATACACTCACACTGTCGAGTAAAATTTTAAGGCCAGAATTGCTTTATAGGAATAAATTGGAATAGAACTCTGGTCATTGTGCTCTCAATATAGCTCTGATGTTATATTTCCCTAAGATGTCACAGTGCCATCAGTCTGATCAAAGCTGTGGGGAAGATCTAAAGTGAGTGGGTTTATTTACTCTCAGAGCAAAAGCCATGGCAGGGCCACTGCTTGTCTAACAGGTATTATCACATGACTACCAGGTGCTGCTGTTTCTGCTCCCTCTGAAGTAGTAAGTTTGCAGACTGAGATAAATAGAAGCCTCTCCTCTCCTCCAGCCTTGACAGTGTAGCCTCTTTTAAACTCTGACTCTGTAATTTGCTTGTCTTTAAATTCTTTTTGTTTTCAATGACTTTTTTTTTTCACTTTGTATTTTTCCGGGGCCTCACTTGCAGCTTCTTACATAATTTTCTGCTGTTGCAGAAACCATGTGAGAGGGGACTTTTTACCGGGCAGGCTTGGTTAGATATCTTTGTTTAAATGCATGCATTTTCTACATTGCCGCTTCCATTCCTAAGGCAAAAATATTTTTAATGCACCCCACACTGAATTCTGGAGTAGAAGTCTTATTGTCATTGTTAGCTATTAAAGAAAATGTCCTTTATCTTAAATTTCATAATTTTTCAGAAAACATCCTCAGTTGTTTTATTACATTGAGTTTTTTTTTTTTTTTTTTAAAAGGAATTAAGCCAAGAGTGACGAAAGAAACTATACCTGCTCCGTCACGAACCACCCACAGGGATCAGGAATGGTATGATGCTGAAATTGCCAGAAAACTACAAGAAGAAGAACTTTTGGTGAGCAAAGTTGAAGGCAAAAGTTTAGATATATTGATGGGTATTGTTTTGTGTGTGTGTGAATTTAGTCCATCTTGAAATTTATATGTCCTCTATCAATTGAGAAACCTTTTTTTTTAATGAGTGGAAAAATCAAGACAATACGAATAAAGTATCCAGTTTTGCTTAGTGAGTAAGCATTAACAGTGAAGTCCATAACTCCATCTCTCCATCTCCATGATAGTTCTCCATGACCCTGCTGTAGGATTTGATAAAATCTAGAGTTCCTACTCTGGTTGGTGACAGCCTACCAACTGATTATCAACCTCAGGAACGTGTGTCACAATTAGTTTCATAAACCAGCTTGATTTGTACAGGATATTGAAAATGCACAACATAGACTCCAATTAAATTCTTTGTTTTTGTATTTTTGATATCGTAGGCTACCCAGGTGGACGTGAGAGCCGCTCAGGTAGCTCAGGATGAAGTAAGTTAATGAGTTTAGCTGATAATCTTTGGAAATATCCTAGTATATTTCTATCTGCAACTCTGCAGTTAATGATATTGACTGTATTTTGTTTAGGAAATCGCTCGACTTCTAATGGCTGAAGAAAAGAAAGCTTACAAAAAAGCCAAGGAGCGGGAGAAACCGTCTTTGGACAAAAGAAAGCAAGACCCTGAGTGGAAGGTAGAGTGCGTTTTGTTTGTTTTCTAATTAGAAATAACATTAGAAATGAAAAGGGGACTCTGCTTTTAAGTTAAGCTCTGCAAATATAGTTAGGATATATGGATATATAAATTATCTATCGCATATGTGAATCTGATCTGTGAAGGTTCCATCAGCATGAAAAATCTCTGAATTTTTGAAAATATGTAAAAAGTTACTGCTAAGATTGAAAACTCATTCTGTTCCCTTTAAGACTGACTGAAATGCAAGTGCTTCTGGTCATGAACAGTCTTGGTTTTCATGTACAGTACTTTGATTATAGAAGAATGTAGCATTTTCACATGCTTTCATATGTTCACATGCTTTCATATGTTCACATGCTTTCATATGTTCACATGCTTTCATATGTTCACATGCTTTCATATGTTCACATGCTTTCATATTTTCACATGCTTTCGTATTTTTCAGAATGAACTTCTCTTCCCGTCTCTGCTTTCTTTGTGCTTGCATTATCTTTCATCTCTATCGTGTACCCGTTTCTCTTTCCTTTGAAGTAACATGGTTTGTGGCAGACTGAAAGATACATACTTATCACCAACAATTATTATTTATGTCACAGTGCAAGACCTATCTAGAATGAGTTTGACTGTTATCTTCCCCTCATTGATCAGAAACTGTAGACAAAATAAGCAGTTACTGCAGTTCATTCTGCTGTGGTAGTTGCAAGTTCCAGTTTAGCAGACTTTATTCATCAGTGACAGTGCACAGGGCAACACTTTGGACCTCCATGGAAAGACAAAGACGTTTTTCTGATAGTAGTGTAAAATGTACAGAGGAAGACAAAGCGTAAACAGCTAACAAATAGAAGGTCAAGCTAGGTGGAAAAAGAGTGGAGGAATAGGGAGAGAATTTGTACAATACAGGGTTTTTAGGGAGGGAGTTTAGGCCCAGAAGAATGAAACCTAGGTTGTGTATTCCTGATACAGTTGGTGTTTAGCACTGATCTCTCTTGAACAAATTCCTCCATTGGGCTTCTGGTCCCACCTCACAGTCTCAGTAATGGTTGTGAGGAAAAAGAAGGTGTAGAAACCCTGCTAATAGTATTGCTGTACTCTTTCCTGTTGCTCAGTTACCCAAGTGTTAGTCTCAAAACAATGAACGTATTATTCTCATATTAATTATGTATATTTAGCTCTGTCTTTTAACTAAGTCAGTAATTCAGGATTTTTTCTAACGTACTGTTTTAGTCAAGGATTCCCAAATACTTCTGTTAAATAAATTAAGCCACAAATAATTGCCCAGGAGTTACTCAGATTCTTTGCTACCTTAACTAGGAAAGGCTAAGTATTTAAGGATTATAAATCAAGTGTGTCAGAGGGCAGTGGCCACATCTCTAGCAAGTATCATGACTTCTGTAATTTTTATTTTATAACTGGTACTGATACAGTTCCTCTCTTGGAAAAGTTGACTTGAATGTGCCTTAGTTTACTGGCTGGAAATCAGCCTAAGACAGGTGTGCGGAAAGAAGTTCAAGTGCACAAACCTGGATTCCGTAGACTCTGGGCATCCACTGGTTCTTGTCAGTTACCGTGTAGCTATTATGTTAATAATCAGTGGCCAAGCACACCCATCTAGGGAAGCATGTTCCTGTGTGTTTAGCCCATTCCTTTGGCTGCTCTGACCAAGGCTGTCAGATGAGTGGGCTAAATACACCTTCCACGTAAGCCCAAAACATACCTTTGCAGCTGTAAGTTTTTTACCTCTGGAGTGGCTATATATATAAATATATTATGTTGCTCAAGTAAATATAATTAATCTGAAATTACTGAGGAAGAGCTTGGCATGATAAAACATATTTTCTAAACTTCATCTTTCCCTTTGATGATTCTGGATTGTGTGTGTTATTCCCTTTGATGATTCTGGGCTGGATGTGTGTTTGTGATTTTTTGTTGGTTTGTTTGTATTTTTGTCCATAGCCCAAAGCAGCTAAAGCAGCATATTCAAAGTCGAAAGAGAGTGATGAACCTCACCGTTCTAAGAATGAAAGGCCAGCACGGTAAGATGACACCTGAAAAGGAAAATGAGGAAGTTGACTTTGGGGTGAGTAAGGAGATGTCAGTTGCCTAAGAAGAGTGTATGTTTTTTGGAGAGGAGATCCAAAAGTCTGCATTTGTGAGGTAGTGTCAAGATGTTCGGAGTTATTTTTCAAACTTTATTTCCAGTCTTAAATTGAGTTGTGCACATCAAATCAGGATTTTACAAAAGTTGGGGTGGATAAGGAAGGATGTACTTTTTGTTAGGACTGATTCTTACCTCTGCATTCACTGAATTTACGCTTTCAGCTTGGGGAATGAGAGTCGTTTTTTTTCCTAAATAAAAATTTCGAGTTGTAAATTTTTACCGGGTTTCATAGCCACACTGATGTGTGTGTGTGTGACATTTGTACATGCTCAAACTCCTTTCTTTCTGAGTCCCAGTGCCCTTGACAAAATCTTGAATCCTTGCAGACTGTCTAAATCCTGCTTGGCAGATAGGTGTGGCTATGGTGTACATACTTTCTGATTTATCTCAAACAGTCATGCGTCATAGTTATGGAGCAGATGCTGTCTTTCTACCTCACATTGTCAACATTTAAGTCTCTGGGGAAGTAACCTCTTTTTTTTTTTTTAATTGCTTTTTGTTACCTTTCAAAGGAAATCATGATTGGAATGTGAAGAACTGTTAAAAACAAGACAAAAAAGTAACACTAAATTTAACATTTTGAAAACTCTGAATTATTCAAATTTGAATTTTATTCTTGATTATTATTTATCAATTCTTACAACGTTTATTTCATTGAATAATTGACACTGTTGTTGCTACTCATGCCCACACTGAAGTTCCTAGACTTGTTTCCTTCAAGTGAATGTATTTAGTGTCCTTAAAAAGTCATCCTCTATTTTAAAACTCATTTGCTTTCAGAAGATAACCCTTCAGAAAATTACATTGGGTTTGTATTGCTCTGAGAACAATAGTGGCATCTTCTGTCTAGTTATATAAAATCTTTCTTTTGTAGCTTTTGGTTAAGCACACAGCAAACATTTTTTTAGAACTCTGTAGGGTTAGTACATTCCCAAAGTATCCAAGTAAAAGAAGCAGCAGCTAATCTGTTCTCACTAAGTAAATACATCTGGATTATTATCCTTTTTTTTAGTCAAATGAATTTAAATCATCTTTAGGCTGATTCTGCGGTCTTCAAATCCTTGGTCTCTTTAGAATAGTAATACCATTGACAGCATATATGATGGAACAGTATTGGATGATTTCTTAAGAAAGTTTATTAAAGTCTGAAAATGAGTTTTTGGAATGTAATACATACTTCAGAAATATTTGGCATACTGAAAGAGTGAATAATCAAATGATCCTGTATTAAAAATGACTATTATAAGTGAATGAAAAGTGACTTACAGCTAGTAGAATAGAAATTTTTGTTTTTATCTTAGAGGAACATTTGTCTTTAAATGTCATTTTAGAAGGATTGTATATATGACAAAAAAAAAAGTAAGAATTTTATGAAACCTGTATTTTCATTATTGAACATTAAAGCTTATATATCTTGCATATGTAGATACCTTGCACAACTAATATCAGAATGTATGCTTTCTGGTTAGAATCTGTGGTTTTCCTCTTTCACATTTAATCATGGTGGGAAAGTTTAGCTAGCTAGCTATACAGAAAGAGTTGGTTTCAAGGATTGAAAAACATGGCACTTCCTAGGTCAAGATGTTTATTACTGAAGTGTGGTAATAGTAGTAGTAGAGGAGAAACAAATTCTCATGTACAGTTTGTAATACTTATGGTCAACAATCCAATTTCTTTGTCTGTTACAGAATTTTCTACTCTTTGTGTATGTGTGTTTAACTTTTGTTGTTATTATTTTTCAAAAATTGCCATTTTTATTTTAGATTCTGGGGATACATGTGTAGGTTTGTTACAAGGGTATATTGTGTGGTACTGAGGTTTGTAGTTTTGACTTTGTCACCCAGATAGTGAACAGAGTACCCAGTAGGAAGTTTTTCAGCCCTTGCCTCCCTCCCTCCTTTTGGAGTTCCCAATGTCTATTATCCAAATCTTTAAGTCCATGTGAACCCAGGATTTAGCTCCCACTTATAAGTAAGAACATGCAATATTTAGTTTTCTGTTTCTGTGTTAATTCACATAGAATAATGCCCTCCAGAAGCATCCATGTTGCAGCAAACAATATGATTTCATTCTTTTTTATGGCTGTGTAGTGTTCTATAGTGTATATATACCACATTTTCTTTAATTAACTGTTGATGGGCATTTTGGTTGATTCCATGTCTTAGCTATTTGCCCAGCTAATTTTTGTATAGTTAGTAGAGACAGGGTTTCACCATCTTGGCAAAGCTGGCCTTAAATTCCTGACCTCAGGTGATCTGCCTGCCTTGGCCTCTCGAAGTGCTGGAATTACAGGCATGAGCCACCGTGCCTGACCTGGACCTTTTAACAATGTAGATTCTTCCAACCCCATGAGCACAGAGTGCTTTTCCATTTATTTGTATCATCTGTGATCTCCTAGACTTGATAAACAACTTAAGCATAGTCTCAGGAAACAAAATCCATGTACAAAAATCAGTAGCATTTCTATATTCCAGTAAGGTTCAAGCTGAGAATCAAATCAAGAACTCAATCCCATCTACGATAACCACACACACAGAATACCTAGGAATACTTCTAACCAAGGAGGTGAAAGAGCTCTATGAGGAGAACTACAGAACACTATTGAAAGAAGTTTTCTACTGTTTTTAAGGAAATAGAGGATCACTTAGCAATCTGAATTCTAACTCTTGTAACTGGAAAAAATTTCAACCCGTGTTCCAAATTGTTTTAACTACAGGATTTTATAATGGTAATATTGTTATTCTACTTACATTTTTTCCTTAGAAAAAATAAATATTTTATAAATCTCATTTTATTCCTTAAGCATTCTTATGGATGTGAAATACATTTGTCTCCCATTTTTCATTTATCCAGTATTTATTGAGCATCCTAATAATTGCTCACACATAATTGGGGTACACATCAGTCAACAAGAATGAACTCTGTCATGTTCTCATGAGTTTGTAATTTAAAAAAATAATTATCCAAATAACTATTACAATTTGTTAAGTACTATGGATGAAAAGTACAAGATGATAAGAACATAGGGAGACATCCTGGTTTAAGTGTCTAGGAGGGTTTCTTAAATGAATTTTGAAGTGAATTATGAAGTATTTGGCTATATCACTAAGTTAAAGATGTAAATTATTTCATGAGAAAGGTAGGAAACAGGCAGTCTTAATACAATAAACTGTACAACAAAGTGTTGGTTAATAAGATTTTTCTAACTTGGATATATATGCCCTTAACTTTAAAACAGTTGTCTCCGGTATAACAAAATAATTTGATGTAGGACTCCTGGCAGCAAGATTTGTTCTCTGTGTAACATGAAACTAAGCAGAACAGTATACTTAAGAGCACTGAAGCCATTCTAGATTGATTTGTTTATCCTTACATGGACATGCTAGAAAACTTCTGGGCATCCTGTGCTTTGTTTCATAACTTTAGCATGCTTTTCCGTGATGATGAGTTGATGGTGAGGCAATAATCATGGATTGTTTTTGTGAGTCCCGCTCAACTTCTGTTTCCTGATTTTTGACTGCCTAATGACATTAATAAAAGAGAGAGCAACAGACTGGGTCACTCTAACTACTAACTCTGTTTTCTTGGTCCTGAGTCACTTCTTAAGCCACTTGTTTGCTTTTTGAAGCTAAGTTCTTTAATCCTAGAGTCAGATTGATTTGTGTCAATTTTTCTACCGAGTCTTACATTGTTTTTTAAAGATAAGTGTTATAAATATCAGGTGTTGAAGAAAAACACTATTTAATTTCCAATATTTGTAAACAAATGATTTAAAAATAAAAATTAGAAAAATGTATTATTCCCTGTTTCCATTACTTATATGTATACAACAAATGCATGAAATGATATTTGAAAGTATAAGTATAGATACTTATGAAAGTATACTTATGAAAATATACAAATGCGTATATATAAATACACATATATACATATAGTCTTGTATACAGATGATACTGCTCCTGATAAAAATACACACGTATGTAGTAGAGCATACTAGAGTAGTTAAGAACACTGGTTTTGAAATCCAGTTGAGTTTGAGGCCTGGGTGTGCCACTTAACAGCTGTGTGAACATGGACAGATTATTTACCTCATCTAACCTAATCTGACTCTAAAATATGTATGTGATAGTTAGCATGTAGACTTGTCCTGAAAGTTAATTGAGATAATCTATGTAGAACCTGTAGCATAGTCCTCAGCACATATACCAGTTTATATCCCATGCTGACCTCTTCTGGATGCTGAATACCCAGGGAAAGATTTATTGCTTGAGGACAAGATAAAAAATTTGAAAACACTTGCTTTTATTTTTACATGACAGAGCCCGTTGTACCAAACCAATTTTAACTTTACAAACCTCCTAATACTTATGGCTTCTAGATTTTACATATAAATATACATAATGGCCTACAGTATGGTTATATATTTGATAAATCTTAATCTGGTGCCATCCTTTAGTGCAAACTTTGAGTACACCTTTGGGAAATAAAGAATGAGAGGTTTTCTGCTTCAGTGCCACATGTTTGCATAAATCTATGTTAAGTAATTAATAAAAAGTTTAGAGTAGTAAAAATTTTATTTTATTTTGTTTACAAGTGTATTACATAGAAGTTGCAAATATATTAAGATCTGTTTTGCCACCTAGTGGATAAAGGAACTTTGATCATGAAATTTTGTTCCTGTTTCCTCCCTCCTTTCTGCCTCCTACCCTTCCCTCTTCTCTTTTTGTTCCTTTCCTTTCTTCTTGACTTTATTATTTTCTTCTTTTCTGTTCTTTATTCTCTTAGTTTTTCTTTGACTTGGGAAGATGCACCAAAACAAAGTTTATTTCTTATAAATGGCAGTGGTCACATCATACTAATCTTTGTTTATCTAGCACAGTTCCTAACGTGTCAGTTGTTGAGGAGATACTTGTTTTTATTGAATTATGACATCAAAACAAAGGAACAGGAAGATAAATCATTTATTCAAGGCCATGCAACTGTCCAAGAACTACAGTGTGAATTCTGAAGCATTTTGGCTTTTGATTTCGCGAGAAAATGTTTTTACCTTTCAATCCAATGAGAGGTGGAGTTATAGTAAGCGTTACTTAGAATGCCCCTTTAAATTTTGGCTTTCTTTTAGGCCACCACCACCTATGGTGACAGATGGTGAAGATTTGGATTACACTCATTTTACAAACCAGCAGAGTTCCACACGGCATTTCTCAAAATCAGAGTCCTCTCATAAAGGTAAGAAGAGTGTGTATGGTCAAGTTTAGGATCTTTTTTTAAAAAACTATAAGCCTCATGTTGTAGTGGAAAAATCAAATTCTGTGTTCCACTAGAGTGCAAAAATAAGTTATTCTCTCAGCACATTGCTGTAGCACTCCTCATTTATTAAAACAGTAACAAGACAAAAAACAGAAAACAGAACACTGTAAATTGTATGTAAGATATTCTGTTTATTTACATTTTCCTCTAGAAGCTTTCATCAGATTCACTTTTTTTTTGAGACAAGAGTCTCACTCTGTCCCCGACGCTGGAATGCAGTGGCATGGTCTCAGCTCACTGCAGCCTCCACCACCTGGGTTCAAGTCATCCTTCCATCTCAGCCTCCCAGGGAGCTGGGATTACAGGCGTGTGACACCATGCCCGGCTAATTTCTGTTTTTTTTTTTTTGGTAGAGATAAGGTTTTACCTTGTCACCCCAGACTAGACTCAAGTAATCCCTCTGCCTCGGCCTCCCAAAGTGCTGGGATTACAGGCATGAGCCACCGCACCCAGCTCTTTCATCAGATTCTTAAAGGGTGATGATGACCTCCATTTAGATCTGCAGGACTGCATTTTCTAGAGTGGCTCTTGTTTCCTATCTGCCCATGACTCTTATTAATTAGATTTAAAATATGCATGCACAACTCCCACGTAACTTTTATGCAAAAGAAAAATGGAACAAAGCATAAAGAAAAAATAGGGATCTCTAAACTGGATGAAACCTTTAAAATGTGTTACCAGAAAGGGGTCCCGGTTCAGATTCCAAGAGAAGGTTCTTGGATCTCGTGTAAGAAAGAGTTCTAGGGGAATCCATAGAGTAAACTGGTAGAAGCAAGTTTATGAAGAAAGTAAAGGAATAAAGAATGGCTGCTCCATAGGCAGAGCAGCAGTGTGGGCTGCTGGTTGCCCATTTTTATGGTTATTTGATTATATGCTGATTAATACAAGGGGTGTATTATTCAGGAGTTTTCTGGGAAAGGGGTGGGCAAATCCTGGAACTGAGGGTTCTTTCCCTTTATAGACCTTGTAGGGTAACTTCTGATGTTCCCATGGCATCTGTAACCTGTCATGGCTCTGGTGGGAGTGTCTTTTAGCATGCTAATGCATTATAGTTAGCTTATAATGAGCAGTGAGGACAACCCAAGTTCAAATTTGTCACCGCCTTGGTTTTGGCCAGCTTCTTTACCACAGCCTATTTTATCAGCAAAGTCTTTATTACCTGTGTCTTGTGCTGACCCCGTATCTCATCCTGTGACCTAGAATGTCTGACCTCCTAGGAATGCAGTCCAGCAGGTCTCAGCCTTATTTTATCCAGCCGCTGTTAAAGATGGAGTTGCTCTGGTTCAGATGCCTCTGACAGATGAACAGTTGGGTTATATTTGCTCTTGCAAGGATCTGGGTTCACTTATGTACATATTTATGAGAGTTGTAAAATGAAATGCTGAAAGAGATAGTTTCTTATATTGATTTCCTCCTCTACAAAATGGAGGCAGTCTAAATGGAAAGTGTCAGAGTTGTCAGGATCATGAAAGATTACATATGTAAAAGAAGTTTGCAGAGTGCAGTAGACTTTGCAAATATATTAGATCTCATTAATTGATGCGTTTTTTGGTTAGGATTTTTGAAGACTTAGGTGATACTATTATTATTCATTTCTAAGTCTAATAATAATGTCCCGAAATGTCTTTAAATTACATTTTCTGCTGTTATTTAAAAATACCATTGCAAAAATGACACTCTAGAATACTTAAATCAGAATCTCTGGATGGAGGTTGTCCAGCATTGGCATTTTTAAGAAAGCTTCCCTCCCCACCATTCTGACTTGCATCCCATACTGAGAAGAAGATAAAAGGCATTATTTTAAAAATAAGGTTAGTTGGACATTATAAACATCTTCATCAAAACACCCCACCTCAGCTTCCATCAGTTGGTGGCATTTTCACTGTTCCCGATTTAACAAAGTAGCTCGTATTTTTCTCAAACTACATGTATCACCTTTTGAGGGGGACCTTACTGTCGTAGACGTACATTTGATGCATAATACTAAACTAACACATTGATTCTGTATATACATCACAATCAAGAATAAAGTACCATTTGAAATGTATAGAAATAAAGTTATTTTACTTGGGCAGGGAGAAAAAGCTGTCTGAGTTTCAAAGGTTTTTCCTTAATTGTGTTTCCTTTTTTCTTCCCCTCTCCAGGTTTTCATTACAAGCATTAAAAACCTAGGAATCTGCCTTGAAAATGGACTCACTATAGCAAATATTACTGGGTGATACAGAATGAATTCTACACTTATTTTTTTCTCCTGTGTTTGCATTCCTGGGATTTATCCTCAAGTGTATTTCTGACCATAAATAATTTTTAATTCATTTCAAATATTTTGGTTATTTGTAATCACTTGGGCAGTATAAGAAAATGTAGCTTCTGAATATTGGCCACCTCTATGCTGCATATATCTAAGAGCTCTGTAAACTGCCATTTTGTTAGGTATGGAATTTGGTATCTAGGGAGTAGGCCTTAATTAGCAATTCAAATTTTATGGAGATGAATGATTAAAGTAAAACAATGTTTGGATGCAACGCAGAATAAAAGAATATAAGAAATAGCTTTTTGTTGCATTAGTGTATGATATTTTGAAGGAGAGAGGCTTTGCTTTTTGTATTCTTTAGGAAAAGAAAATCACTACCATAAAGTATTTTCAAAAAAGAAACTCTTGAAGCAATTGAAATATGTTATTCTGACTAGATGGACTATAGAGGTTTTGCATATTCCTTCTCAGCCCTCCTGGGGAGATTGGCCTAGATAGCATTCTTTAACAGTTACTCAGCTTTTGACTCAGTAGCAAGGCTTTCCGAAGCCCCTGGGCAATGGACCATTTATTGGTATTTATTGACAAAAATTTAGTTCTCTGAAATTTTAACTCAGATATATGAATATCTTTGTATTCCATCTCTTGTTTTTGATTTACTTGTAGAGCCAAGGAAATGGAATTGAAAGATGATTGCGTAAGTAATGATGCCATCCTTCTCTGGCTGTAGACTGAGGTTTTTCTCTTGCTTAAAGTCATATCTGTATTGATAACTTCTCAATAATGTTGTGTTTACATACCAATAATTAGATTAATTCAACTTGAAGTTGAATTTGATAAAGTGGTTATTTATCCAATTTTTTTTTTTTTTTTTTTGAGGTGGAGTCTCACCCTGTCACCCAGGGTGGAGTGCAGTGGTGCAATCTTGGCTCAGTGCAACCTCTGCCTCCTGGGTTTGAGTGATTCTCCTGCCTCAGCCTCCGGAGTAGCTGAGATTACAGGTGTGTGCCACCACGCACAGCTAATTTTTGTATTTTTAGTAGAGAGGGGGTTTCACCATGTTGGCCAGGCTGGTCTCGAACTCCTGACCTCAAGTGATCCACCTGCCTCGGCCTCCCAAAGTGCCGGGATTACAGGTATAAGCCACTGCATCCAGCCAGCCAAGTATTTGGTTTTAAACATTAGTATTCCTTTGTTCAAGGGATTGTATTTTGCACAAGACCTTCAAGCCCCTCTTCAAGAAATTGAGTCTTTGTGTAGCTGCTGACCTTACTGCCATATTTATTTTCCCATACTGCTTAGCTGACAAATGGCAGTCAAGCTCACTTGTACTCCCTCTCTCTCTCTCTCCCCCACCTTCATATATAACTTGACTTGCTATTATTTTTCATTGTGTAAATCTGAAATTCTTGGCATTTCAATATGGCGTTTGTTTAGGAAAGAAATATATAGGTCACTAGAGAAAAATGTTAATTTTTTTCCTACTGGAAATTGCCTTCTGTTTGCCTTATCTTTTCAGATAGTCTTTAAAGTTGGACAATATTCAAGCAGCTCATTTTGAGAAAGATTTGTAGTTTCATAAAGTTTGTGTATTACAGGAATTTAAGTAAAATCATCTGAATTAAGTGTTGGGCAAATGTTAATCAGAAAGATAATCTGCATCCCTTCGTTATATAGTTATTTTGGAGAAATGGCGGAAAAGGAAAATAACAGGACTTTTTATAGCTATGATAAGAAAAACCTCCATTTAAATAAGGAAGTTGGAGACAAAATGGAAGGTCCTGGCCTTAAGTCAAATTCCAGATAGTGGTTTCAATATCCAAAGCTTAGGCCTTGTTTACTTATAGTAATGCTATATTTTTCTTTATCTGCCCTGTGATTTTGTTTCGTGTCCTTCAAAAGTTTTTTTAATTGTAATTTTAAAGGAAAAAACAGTGTATTTTTATTTGATAACTAGGCAAAATCATTTGCCATTTTTTATTTCATAAATATTTATTTTTCTATCTCATACAATGATCAGTTTTACTTTAAAAATTCTGCATTTCTCTTGCCTCTCATGTACTTCATCCAGTTATTTATTATTGTAAAATGTTAACTGGAGGTACTTTATTCAAAAAAATTTCATACCACTTAACACTTCCCCGGAATGGTAGTGTTTCAGCTGTCTTAGTAAGTGACCAAAGGTGGTATTTCCCTTGTGATAGCTAATTCAACATCTTTATTGAAAATTTGTTACTTTTTTTAAAGGTTTTTAAAAGATTACAATTTTAAAATATTTTATGTTTATTTTATTTTTGTGTAAAGCAAACACTTTTTAAATAATATCAGAGTAATTATTACCCTATGAATACGGAGATAGAAATGCAATTCAGTCAGTTAAATCCTCTTACTCATTCTCTTTCAAATAATGTAATAATGTTTGAGACTATAGAAGCAACTCGTGTATTTTAATGAACTGCCAGACACTTTTCACTGTGTTCTCTGCTTTTTACTTGGTCATTTTTATATAAATGTGGAAGCGTTTATTTTTGTTGTTACTGTTCCTGCTGCAAGAACACGTGCAGTTTAATTTTTAAGCCCACAATGTATTATGCTTTAATGTTGTGATGTAAACTAATACTTCTGGCCTTGGAAAACCTTTCTGTTTCTGTATCTTTGTCCTTTGGAGGCCAGGCCTCATTAACACCTGTATTGTTGAATAAGCACAGTATGTTATGGAGCCTTATCATAAGGCTGCTTGACATAGACACCCACTCTCCTCCACATTTTATAAATCATTGTTTGGAAGTAAAGTTAGGTAAGAATCAAATTAAATGTTTTGACTTGAAAAATATTTGACTTTTGCGTTCAAACCACTGTTAGACATATGTATTTTATTAGACATAAGTATTTTATTTTGGGACTGGACAGTTGCTTTACATATATTTAAAGGAACATTGTGATTTTCAGAAAGTGGCTTTGCATACTATTGAATTGCTATTTCCCAAGTTACTTTACAACCACCAGCAGCATACCAATAAGTTACAAAAACAGAACATGAAAATTAACCCTAGGTGTTCTGATGATAGAGAAATAGCTGAATTAGAAAAGAAAGATATGGATAGATGCTCTTAGGAGGAAAACCTTTTTAGAATGGCAATGACTGCTTGGATCTAGGTCAGCAGATTCCAAAATGTGTGACCTTGTGTTTGTGTTTACTGAACTCACTCTAGAAAATTCTGGACCCAATTCATTAACCCTCCTTTTCTTTAATGTGTACTGAAGCTGAGCTGGATGATGAGGGAATTCATTGCTGACTGTTGCTCATCACTTTCCCTCAAAGTCAGAACTTTTCAGTATAAAAATAATTAGCTTTTAACTGATTATTAATTTTCTTTAGTACTGTGAAAACTTGTCTGAAATTCGTGTTGTGCCAGATTGGAAATACCTACTGTAATATGGTGCATTCATTTTACCCCATAAGTGGTTAACATTTTAGGTCCTAGATTTTTAATGTCCTGTCTTTGTGTAAACATCACTTTGGGGAATACCGAGATGGTTCATTATTCAGTGATTATTTTCTTGAAAGATAACTATGATGATTGGCTGTAAAATCTTCAGCCTAATAAAGGAGTGAGATCTCTGTGTAAACAGCTTTCTGAAGGACTGATAATAGAATAGAACTTGTAGCCAAAGGCAAACCTTTTGAGAAGACGGTATTTGTGTAGGGAGTGCTAAGGTAGACTTCATTATATATCGAGTGCCATATTCTGATGCAACAATCATAACAAAATCAAAAGCTCATGCTTCAGCAAAAAGGAAAAAAGATCTTTAAATTACTTTGTCTGTTACTGCTCATAGAGAACTATATAAAATGGTCCCATTTTCTCATTTCTGGTGGTGCCTGTGAGTCTGAAAGCCATATCTGCTTATCTTACTGTTGATAGAATACTTTTTTCTTTTTAGCCCATGGTAAGTAATATGGGCAGGTAGAAGCAAACTGGAGACTGTCCTGTTAATGCTGCGTGGGGCACAGTGTCATTCAAATTATTGGTGGAAGAATCTCTTTTATCCATGGTGAGAGGTAAGAATATTAAAGGAAAGAGTCAGGATATTGTTGCTCCTGGTATTTAACAACTGTCATTAGAAATGCTGAAATTTAATTCTAGAGAAGTCAAGAAAGAAGGAGTAAACTGAGAAAATCTCACTACTGCAGAGTAACTTTTACAATGAGACCTGCACTTTATGCCAGCGCTGTTTGTGAGGAGCAGTACTGCCTTAAATTAGTTTGACTCTGACCGATGTCAGTGTACGTTACTTCCTTTATGTGACTGACAGTCAACTTTCCATTGAGATCTAACATTCACAGATGATCCCCAAGCATCCTTGTCATCAGAAGCTTTGGACCTTTTCTGCCACTGACTTATGGCTGATCTGTAACACAATAAATACATAATTTTATTTCATGTTGTCTGTCAACCTCTGAATAAACAGTGGCATGACCAAAAAGACTGGTAGAAGGAGAGAGAATTTCCTGGCCAAATCCTTCATACCAGGTGGCCACTTCTTGAGTAATTGAGAGTTGACTGTCTTCTATGGTGACGATATAGAAGATACTTCCAAAGGTTCTGTTATGCAGTGAAGACATTCAGATTATTTGTAAGAATTTCACCAACACCCTTGTGTATTGAAGTGCTTAACCATTAACAGAAAAAAAGGAGAAAACCAAAACAGAGACATTTACTTGAAATGGAAGATTTGCTAATGTGAAGAGTGTTTCTATTTTATTACTTTTAAGAGAAAAGCAGGAAAACTTTTGCTGTGATAAGAAAGACACCAGAGTGGTGATTCTATTTGATACCACAAGCTAACACAATCGTGTGAGTACTCATGTTGAGTTGTAGAAATATGTGGCTCTAAAAACCATTCTCTTTCCCTTACATATACATATGTGAACACTGCCTAGTAACATTTTAATAGGTTTAAGATGCATTTGTACATTCTCAGCAAACTAGAAAATGTTTTTTCTCTTTTTGAGTAACTTCATAGCATAGGGAACCAGCACTGTGCAGGTTTCAGCATTTCAGATAAGGACAGAATTAATTGTGTAACTTAGTGCCCTGTTACTCATTGCTGAGGTTCCTATATAAAGAACAGAAAAATTGAAAGACGGGTTTGAGCAACATTTTCTTCACAAAAGATCAAGGAGTAAGAACAAGTAAGGGAAGACAGCTAAGAGAACATACTATGACATACAGAATTGGGATAAATTTTTGTCGTGCTGGATTTCAGGCTATAATTGCTAAAATAATTTCTAGCTATTAAATTTGGCGACAGGGTTTTTGACATCAGAATTTTTGTACTTCTGGTCAAATTGGCCTTGGAAATCCCTATGGTCTCTAATTTCAGCTCTTGCTGTAAACTGCAAGCCAAATGCTGTTTCTCAGAAAGAGCTGTATTTTTCTCTTCTTACAGGCAACCCAGTACTTATTTCATAAAGTGTTACAAATATTGAGAGGATACACTGGGGAGATAGAATATAAAAGTGATGCTCCAAAATGAGAATTCTCTGTAATGGGGTTTTCCCTAAGAAGAATCCATCCCAGCACCTATTTTGAAAAGGTGCTGAATTAAAAAGTACAAGAGTTTGCTCATATAAATCAAGTTGCTCAGGAAATCTGAGGTGATGCTGTCATTTGTCTCATAATTTAGAAAAGTGATCTCTTGAGAGAGAGACTACACGTTGCCTGGGCACTTTCCGATTCTTTAGTAAGTGCCGCTTTGATATTTGGAATGTGGATATGTTTATAAAACAAATGGATTGTTATTCCAAATGCTCATGGATTTATAACCAAGTCCCAGAAGAATATGCAGCTTTGAAATAGTTATTTCGTGGAATTGAACAGAACCTTGATGGAATATAGTTGCCTGTGTGAGGACAGAAAACAAAGAGACTGCCTCAAACTACATGCCTGTCTAGACATTAAGTGAAACTTGAGGGACATTTTGTGGATGCCTTAAAGGTGACCAGTGGTGGGTTCTGATGGGAATATACACACCCATCTGGACTAGGCCAATGGAAGCAGAGTCTCTTTCAGTTCACCTCCATACAGCAGAAGTTGTTCCTGCTCATGACCTCATTGAGGAAAATGAGAATTGTGGTGCTGGTGACTTTCATGTGTCTTGGGAGGTTCAGGTGTTCAACATCGTTAAGGCACTCCCAAAACGCAAACCTCCTCTTTTAAATGCCAATTGTACATCTACATTAATTCATCTATGCAAGCTTGTGTTTTCATGGTTTGTTTTTTACACCATATTTCTCATTGGGTTCTTTAAACATCAAGTTTAATATTGATATTATGAATAATTTTTAAACCAAAGTATTCTCTAAGTCTTTGTGCTTTGTTTTCCTGGATGGTTTGACCAAGGTAAATATCAATCTTGTCCTTCTCTCTTAATAAAGTCATCCATTTGTTAAGTCAGTGGTTTCTGTCTCATGTTTTTGTTGTTTCTTTAGAACATTCAGGGAAAGTTACGTAAATAGCAATCATAAGTATTATTATGATTGTTATTTTTTACAAAATGACCCTAATAGGTCTGTTTAATAACAGTAAAATTTTCTCTTACTCCATTTCCATACACTTTCTATAAATATGTATAACATGATGATGATGCCTGGTGTATTGAAATTCTCAATAAATACTGCCAAGTATGGATCAGTTGGAGAAGTAGCTTTGTTTTGTGTATGGTGTTTGGTGGCTTGATTGATGTATTTGGGAGAAAAAAACAGGTAAATGGGTATTCACACAATAATTCCAGTGATTAAAGACCCCATGCACAACTCTGCGCTATACCTGACACCTTGTGGACACTTAAATGTATTTTGAGAAAATGGATATTTTTAATAACTGATTTATTCAATATTTTACCTTCATAAGAATTTTGTTATCTTATTTGGTTTGATAGAACAGCCATGATGTGGGAAATGATTCTGCAGAAATGTATCAGGTATGTTAAAAATAATATTTTCAATGACTACTAAATTTATTTTTAAAGATGTCACTATTTAGCCATCCTAGAGCAGATTCTCTAGGCCTCAGATTCCTCTATGGCAAATATAGCAGGGAATCTAAATGATTTCTGTAGTCTCTGCTAGATCTTGAGTAGTACTAATGATGTGCAGGTGATACTGTTTTACTTAGTTGAAGAAGATTGGTATGTTGATTTCAACCTTTGATCTCTAAATAAATACTAAAGTTGCCAGTGGAAAAAGTTGATCTCTAAATAAATACTAAAGTTGCCAGTGGAAAAAGTTGATGCATCTAGAAGCCAATTAAAAAATTAAATATGCGAGTAAAATAGCTCCCTTTAATCTGTGGTAAGAGGTACTCAAGGTGATAGGGTGGTTTATGGGGAATATGACTTGAGTCTGATTGTCAGGCTATGGCCATGTGGCCATGTGAAGAGGTAGCATACTAGAAAGTTCCTTCTTAAAGCAGCTAAGAAGCCACCGTCCACCTCGCACACCTTAGAAATTTGGAGAAACCTTTAAGAGGGTTTTGGACTACTGCAAATCCTAGAGTCACAGTTTCAAGACAATTTTGCCTCCATTTCAAGGGCAGGAAGACCAACTGCCCCCCCTCCATTGTGTTTGGGTATCATTCTTAAATGAACGAACACAAAACTAAAGGCTGCTGCAAAATCAGTGTAGTAAAGAAATCTACAGGAATAAGGAGATGTGGGGTCCTAGTCCAGGTTTTGCTATGAGCTTGTTTCAGGAACTTGGGACATCATTTATCCTGCTGTATCTCAATTCACTTGCCTGAAGCACTCCTTCAGGTATAACATTTGAGGATTCCTGCTGTCAAGGGCTGCTGGTTTCTTTTAAGATGTTGCCAGGAAGAGAACAGCTTTATTCACTGCTGGGTGCCTGCAAAATCACAAAGACTTCCTAGACATTCCATCATGAAAGGCTTCAGCCATGATCTTTTGTTCTTTACTGCACTATTTTGCTACTTCTATCTCCACATCCAGTAGATTGTCATTAACTTGTTACATGTTTTTCTAACCAATATCCATCTCTATGTTTTATTCCCAAGGCTGAAATTTGAGCCTCTTTCCTCAAATGGTCTTTGGATGTTCTTGTAAATTAACTCCACTAGTGTGTCTTGCTTACCATACTTCCAGGACACACCCACTTTTCTTATCAATTCCTCAGCCCAATCATGCAAATTTGGTTTTGGTCATGTAGATCATAACATACCCTTAATTATGCCTGCCATTTTAAATTATTTTGTGTCATTACCTGATCTTTGCCATCACTAGCAGTGCTCTTTGTGCCTAAGTAATCTCTTTGGAACCTTTCCTGCTGACCTGTCAATCCCTCATTCCTTCACATCCCTGACCAGGCTGCAGGGCTCTCAAACACAGGTGACTCTGTCATTGACTCTAAGGATTTGTGTATGTATGAAAACGGCCTTTTCTGGTCTGGACAGTACCAATTGGTGTATATCAATTGGTGTATAAAATCTCTTTTATGGATTATTTGGTGTCAAGCCTAAGAACTCTGCGTAGCCCTACATCTTGAAGATTTTCTCCATTTTGGAGTGGATTTTTGTATAAAAGTGTGAGGTTTAGGATAAGCTTTGTGTTTCTTGCCTGCATGTTCAATTGCTCCAGAACCATTTTCCTGATACCTTTTAAAAATCTCCCATTTCTAGTTTGATTCTGTTGTGGTTAAATACACTCTGCATGATTCCAATTTCATTAAATTTGTTGAAGTTTGTTTCATGGCCTGGGATATTGCCTATTTTAGTATATGTTCCATAAGCACTGAAAAGCACATGTGTTGCTGTTGGGTAGTGTGTTCTATATACTCATTCTCCTTGACTTATTGTGGGGTTATGTCTGCATAAAGTCATTAAGTTGAAAGTGCCTTTTCATGTTAATATTTTCAATTTATGATAGATTTATCCAGATTTAGCACCATTGTCATACAATCAGGGGCCATCTTTATGTTAATTAGATCTTGTTGGCCATTGGTATTGTTGAGTTCTTCTGTATCCTCACTGATTTATGTCTAGTTATTCCATCAGTTGTCAAGAGAGGTGCTGAAGTCTCTACTTCTGGATTTGTCTGTTTTTTTATTTCAGTTGCTCTCCATTTTTGCTTCACATATTTTGCAGCTGTCATTTGATACTCCATATGTGTACGTGTGTATTATATATATGTATATAGCAGAGTTCTCCAAAGGGACAGAACGAATAGGATATAAATATGAAAGAGTTTATTACGAAGAATGGACTTCCACGATTATAAGATGGAGTTCCACTATAGGCTGTCTGCAAGCTGGGGAAGAGAGAAGCTGATACCGGCTCTGTCCAAGTTCGAAAGCCTCAAAACCAGGGAAACTGACTGCAGCTTTCAGTCTGTGGCCAAAGCCCAAGGTCCCATGGTAAGCCACTAGTACAAGTCACAGAGTCCAAAGGCCAAAGGAACCTGAGGTCCAATGTCCAGGGCAGGACGAATGGAAGGAAGCATCCAGCACGGGAGAAAGAAGGCAGCCAGAAAAGTCAGCAGGCAAAGTTGATCCCATCTTCTTCCACCTGCTTTGTTCTGGGCGCACTGGCAGCTGATTGGATGGTACTCACCCTATTGGGGGTGGGTCTTCCTCTCCCAGTCCGCCGACACAAATGTCAATCTCCTCTGGCAACACCTTCACAGACACACCCAGAAATACTTTACCAGCCATTTAGGTATCCTTCAAGTTGACACCTAATATTAATCACAGATACATACACATTTAGGATTGTCACGTCTTAGTGGAGTGATCATTTTAACATGGACAGGTACTGGTTTTTGGCCTGTCAGGAATCAGGCTGCATAGCAGGAGGTGAGCAGCAGGCCAGTGAGCATTACCACCTGAGCTCTGCCTCCTGTCAGATCAGCAGCAGCATTAGATTCTCATAGGAGCGCACACCTTATTGTGAGCTGCACGTGCAGAACATCTAGGTTGCTGTCCCCTTATGAGACTCTAATGCCCAGTGATCTGAGGTGGAACAGTTTCATACCAAACCCATCTACACCCCGCCCACCTACCCTTGTCCATGGAAAACCTGTTTTCTACAAAACCAGTACCTGGTGCCAAAAAAGTTGAGGACTACTGGTTTTGAAAACTTTGTAGTTTTCTTAGTCCGATATATATATAAGAGAACAAGAAAGCCCAGGGAAACCATATTCCTTAGGTTCCGAAGTCCCTTGACTTACTTATTTTTTATTGAGAGTCTAATGTTGGTTTTATAATATGATGTTTAGGTGTTTTAGTTGTATTTAGTGGGAGGGATAGGGAAAAGTATGTCTATTTTATTTCCTAGAAATGGAAGTCTCCAATATTTACATATTTTAATCTCTCATTTTAATTAGGTTTTGAGATTTATTTCACTAGGAATTCATTTTGATGTAATTACTTATTTTCGGTTCATTTCTGCCTATGCTATTTATTAAACAGCCAACCCATTTTTTATAGATTTGAAATCCACTTGTAATAGTTCTAATTCTATACATTTTCTGTTTAAAAAATTTTCTTACCTTTGTCTAGTGCCACATTTTAAATTACTAAATTAATGTGTAGTGATACATGTTCATTTTTATTACTCTTTCAAAAAAAATCTATTGGTGGTATTTCATATTCCTCCAGTGGAAAAGTAAAGCTGTTTTGGCAATTTCTTTTCCTTTTTTTCTTTTAGCATGTTCTGCATTTATTTATTTTGCTGGTGTATTTTTTATTATGAAATCTGCATAACAAAGTATGAAATTTTACTATTTTAAGTGTACGATCCAGTGATACTAATTTTATTCACAGTGTTGGTCATTACTATTACTATGTCCAAAACTTTTCAATCACCCAAAATACAAACTCTGTACCCATTAAGCAGTAATTCCTCATTCTTTCCCTTCCCCAACGTCTAGCAATCTAACCTTTCTGTCTCTATGAATTTGCCTGTTTTAGATATTTCATAAAGGTGGAATCAACCTACTTCTCCTTTCATGTCTGGCTTGTTATACTTTGCATACTGTGTTCGAGGTTCACTCATGTAACATGTATCAGCAGTTCCTTTTTGTGGCTGAGTATTCTAAGTATATATCACATTCTGTTTATGCAGTTATCTATTCATAGACACTAGATCGTTTCCACCTTTTGGCTATTGCGAATAATGTTTAAATGAACGTTGTAGTACAAGTATTTGAGTCTCTGTTTTCCATTTCTTCTGGTTATATATGTAGGAATTGCTGGGTCACATGGTAACTCTCTGTTTAACTTTTGGAAGAACCACTAAACTGTTTTCTATAATGAGTGTACCATTTTACATTCCCATCAGCAGTTTCTCCACATCCTCATCAACACTTGTTCTTTTCTCTTTTTTTCCCTAATAGTCATCCTAATTGTGTGTGAAATAGGGCTCTAACTTCATTATTTTGCATCTGGAAACCTAATGTGTGTCTCAGCACTATTTGTTGAAGAAATTTTCTTTTTCTCATTGAATCAACTTGGCACCTTTAAGGAAAACCATTTGGCCATAAGTTTGTGGGTTTATTTCTGGACTTCAGTTCTGTTCCATTGGTCTATATATTTAGCCTTATGCCACTACTACACTATTTTGATTACTGGAGCTTTGTAGTAAGTTTTGAAATTGGGGATTGTGAATCCTCCAGTGTTTTTCTCCTTTTTTTTTTTTTTTTTCAGGATTATTTTGGCTGTCAGGGACCCCATTGCAATTCCAAATGAATTTTAAGATTAGCCTTTTCATTTCTACAAAAATACTGTAGCAATTTTGATAAGGATTGCATTGAATCCACAGGTCTTTTGGGTAACATTGCCATCTTAACTATACTGAGTTTTTCAATCCATGATCATGGAATGTCTATTTATGCTATGTTTAATTTTTTTCAATTATGTTTTGTAATTTATTGTGTATAGTCTTTCACACCTGTGATTAAATTTATTCCTT